GGAAGCAGAGGAATGAATGAGAGACTGAAAAAGTAGAAGAATAAACAAAATATTACAGATCAAGAAAGCAGTAGAGTTAAGTCCCCCTAGCAATAGCAGGAGGGGAAGACAAAAGGGGAAAAAAGGAAATAACCGTGGAAGCGACTAGGACAAGCGCTGAGTATCGGCTCCTGGAGACAGACACAAAGTGTTGAAAACTGAGAGATCAGAAGTTGGAGTTCATGGATGTTTGCATAAAAGCCATGATTATTCCATTGAAGAATAGACGTAGTCAAAAACAAAGACACTAGGAAAAAAGAAAACGAGAAAGAAAAAATTAATTCAAAGATGAACACGGAATAATAGGGAAGATCCGGCGCAGGTTCAGTGTCATCAGTGTGCGGGCATAGGTAAATCATGCAAAGATGATTGAGTCGAGGGGACAGAAGGATTAAGTCGAGGGGCCAAAGGTAGACTGACTGAGTCCAAGGTGGGAGGATGACTCTGAGATCGACGGTCAAGGGAATGGGGAAGGACAAAAATAGAGGTGTGCACTTGATCAAAGACAGCGTCAGAAGAAAAATCAAGGGCCACGGGAATCTCCATAGCATGGTCAGTCAATTTCCCCACACAGAAGGGAGGAGATGCAGGGACAGAGCCTGAGGTGGAAAATAGGGGATGGACCGACGCCTTCTTAACAGCTTGGGAGGAAGATGAAGAGGAACCAAGTTTACGTTTCTGACTGAGATACAGGTGCGCCAGCATCAATGTACTGTGCGACAGCCTCCAACTCAGCAGGAGAGGAAGAACGAGAGCGGACAACACAAAGACAACAGGGAGGAGGATGGACCAGGCCTCCGGGCCTGGAGGGTCAAGTGTTGTGGACAGCCAAAAGACAGAGGGGAGGGCTAAGAACAAAGACAGGATTGGGAAGGGAAGGCCACAGGGTACAGAGAAGAGGAAAGAGGTGGAGAAGTGACATGGAACTGAACGGCAGGAAAAAACTGGGAAGGGAAAGTGGAAACACAAGGTGGTGAACGGTGAGGAAGATCCCTGGAATCAGAGTGGAGGAGCAGAAGACTGGTGGTGGAGGTATTGGGATCTAAAGCCTGGAAACAGTTGTGAAATTGAGAAAGGGGTGAAGGGTGGGTAGAAGTGCGATGCAATACACACAAAAATTGATAATGGCTTCCTCAAATTTGTAGTGGATGCATGAGTGGGAGTAGGCAGGGTGGGCATCACTGCAATTGATGCAGTGAGGCTGGGGGGAAGAGCACTCTGCCTTAGAATGATCTGGGTCTCCACACAAGGGGCACAGGGGACATACACTAGCCTTGCTAGTGCATCACAAGAGACCATGTCCATACAGTATTTCCAACACTTATTGCAGAGGTGAGAAGAGGGGATGTATTTCTGAACGGAGCATCTGGCACCAGTAAGAATAAAAGAGGACGGATGGGACCTACCATCAAAAGTGATTTTGACTACCCGAAGAGGCTGGTGACGATGACCACTATGGAGTGGAGTAAACATATTAATCTGGAGAATAGAATGGCCTTGGGCCTCGAGAATATATTTAATATTTTCGTGGCAGTCTTTCAGCTCTTTATTTCCAGTCACGACATGGGGCGGGAGAACGACTGTGCTAATGGTGATTTTGGAAACCAGAACTGGGGGTCTCGCTAATGCAGGACAACTATGCCACATGTACAACTAGTGTGAGAAAGTTTCAAAATACTTAATCCCCTTGGCAGGACCAAACAAATCTTGGAATGCAGATGAGTTAGGAGGAATCGTGTGGTTGACTGTGGGAGTTACGGCACCAGGCTCCCCAGTATGAGGGGGGGGGGGGTTTGAAAGGTGCCATTGTCACAAGAAATGGAGCCACTCCAGATGACTAGGTGGTCACCATTGGGGGGCTTGGGGCTCAATCCCACCGCAAAAGCGTGAGTGGAGCAGAGAGGGTCAGCAGATAGTCAACAAAGGAGCCTGGTCTGGGTCGAACATAGCGAGGGCTATGAAGCCCAATCTTCCGTCACCAGCTGACCTGAGGAATTGGTCACCCACCCCATGAGCCTGTGTAAGAGAAGTCAGTTCGGTATCCATACAGCATTAATTTAAAAAGTTTTGGTCTCGGAGGGATAAGGGATACCACTTACCATGGCAGCTTAGGGAGGCTGAGTGCTGGCCAATGCAGGAAAAGGTGTGTCGTCCACAGCGGTGCTCCCATTTTCTAACAGTGGGAAATCCTTCTGCATCTTACATTCTCCCACACTGGTGCAAAGACCTCTCTCCTTTTTGCCTCATCCTGGGCACCCAATCATCCACTAATGGCAGCCCCTCCAGCAGGAGGTCTGTTGACCCGAATAAGATCCCTACAGGTGTGTACCTTAACACATACAACACCTGGAAAGTGGCAGGAGAGGGGGCCCAAGGCCACCCTCACCAGTCCCTGGGACTCGTTCATGAGCCCCCTTACCACTACCAGGTGATACTCTGCAGGGGAGGAAGTTTTATTAGTCTATGTTTGTTAATGTCAAGTGTGATTTCCACTTTCTTGGACTAATTATTCTGGCTATCTTAAGAACATCAGTGAAGACTCCTGGCATTCTCTATTGTGAGTCGAGAAAAAACCGACTGTAGTACCGGAATCTATTGGTATCAGCTAATATGCCAGTACAGGTATTGGAATAAGCTAAAATCTTTGCATTTGGTACAGCTCTACATAATACGGCTTAGAATTTGAGTGTACAGTAACTTTATTAATTTTATCATAAACTACAACCTATTTTTCTCCACATGACAATTAACAATATTGTGCTCTAAAATTCTCTGCAGTCCACTTGTGTTCTAGGTGGTGGGGAATATTTCCCCTTCGTAAAACCAGTACATCACTGTGCCTCAGCACCAACTAGTTTGGAAACAGTTGTAACTATGGTGACAGATGGACTTGCAATGGCACAACAGTTGTAGTTTTAGTTCCAGATGGCCTGTACTTGTAATTACATAACAATCAAGAGCCATGCAAACACATTTGTATTTTTAGCCATACTGTATTGCAGGAATAAGATTCTTAAATTATAATTTGTTTTTATATGTAATGGAAACCAATGAAATTGCTAATGCAAGGGTAATCAATCCGTCCTCTTAAAAATAACAACGTTACTTTTCACTCGTATGCGCGCTATGGCCAAAAGTGGACGTAATTTTAAATGAAATTGACTCACAAAAGTGACATACTGTCCCGTTTTCTGTTTGAGTCGTCCGGCTTACTCGGACAAGTTAGGAGAAGAAACATTCAATTAACGTTTTTCATAACGTTTTGAAACTTTATGAGAATTTCCTGCCCACCTAACCTATCAGAGGACCTTAAATTTACTGTTGTTGAAAAAAAAAATCCCAAATTTATTTTCATTTTCAAATTATGTCCACTTTCAGCCATACGGGCAAACGGCCAAAAGCTACGTTATTTTTAAGAGGACAGGTTGGAGTGATGCCCATAAATTAAAAGATAAATGACAAAAGATGCTATAGTTTAAAGCTTAGGCACAACTTACAGCACCATCAGATAACTTCTCAAACAAAGTCTTGCTAAGATTATGTAACTAATGATAACCAAGTGAAATACCAATTCATCCTCTGCTGGATATGTTATTAAGACCAGCAGATCTTTTGTTTTACTATCCCCACTATCTGTCACTGTCACCCATCTCCATTGGATTTTGAAGAAGCCATAGACAGTATGTCTGTGCACTCTGCACCAGGCACTGATTCTTGGAACTCCATATTTGTCAAGATTTGTATAAAACCACTATCGTAGGCCCTTCACATTCTTTGGAGACTGAGCCTAGATACTGGTGTTATCTCAACATACTAAAAACAGCAGAGATAGCACCACTCCATAAAGGAGGAAATAAGGCAGAGGCAAAAAATTACAGAACGATAGCACTAATATCATACATCATAAAAATCTTTTAGAGCGCCAAGAAGTAAGATCACATAATACATGAAATCCCAGTATCTCCATAACCTCGAACAACATCAGTTCAGAACAGGGCGGTCTTGCCTATCACAGTTGCTGGACCACTATGACATGGCCTTAGATGCCATGAAATACAAGCAAAACACTGATTTAATTTACACAAAAACCTTCGACAAATGTGATCATGGTGTTATTGCACACAAAATGTGTTCAAAAGGAATTACCGGAAAAATAGACATATAGATCTACAATTTCCCGACTTAACAGAACCCAATGTGTTCTGTTAAGTCAGGAGTAAGTATTGTAAGTACTGTTAAGTACTGTTAAGGTCAACAAAATATAATCTGGACCATCAACCATTAAGTGCTCAGTCCCCCAAGGTACTGTGCTTGCTCCAGTACATTTTCTCATCCTCATATCGGACATGGACAAGGACACAAACTATAGTATCGTATCATCCTTGCAGATTTTCCTAGGATTTTTATGAGTTGACAACATATAGGACACAACAAACCTCCAATCAGAAGTAAATCAGGTCTTTCAATGGGTTACAGAAAAAATATGGTATTAATGAAGAAAAATTTCAACTCCTGCGCTACAAAAAAAAAAAAAAAAATGAAAAATAAAAATGGAAACCACGTACAAAATCAAATCATACCACAGAACGAAAAAGCAATGTAAAGGATTTGGGTGTACTCATGTCGGAAGACCTTACCATTAAAGAACACAATAAAATAGCCATCACAACTGCAAGAATAGTGACAGGTTGGAGAACAAGAACTTTTCAAACTAGAGATTTTATACCGATAATGATACTTTCAAGATGCTAGTGCTCTCTAAGAGTGGAATACTGTAGCACAATGACAGCCCCTTTCAAAGCTGGAGAAATTGCTGACCTGGAGAGCATGCAGAGATCCTTTACTGCTAGAATCCACTCAGTTAAACATATAAATTAAACTAAAAATTTAAGCCCTATGCTCATATTTATGAAATAAAGATAAAATTTACTTCCCAGAAAGCCTTTTGAATAATAGACTGGTGATTTTTGGATGGTATATTTCTATCAAAACAGACTATAAATGACAATAATTAATCTTCACAAATGAAATGTGCTTGCCCTCAACCAGTTGAAAACAGTAATCCACAATAAAGAATCTTGGAACTTGCAAAAAAAAAATACTTTGAACCATTGAACATAATTTAAGTGGTTAATTACAAGTATTTATAATAATGATAAAACCATGTATTTCTCCTACAATAACCTGATCCAGTATTTTAACTTGTCCATCCAAAGATTCTCCCAAATAATTAACATAAAAATGACACAGTTTAGTCATCAAATAAAAAAAAGTAATCAATCACAGGTGCCAACAATACACCATTACACAGCTACTAACACTCAATGTCTGAAAAGTTTTTCTGACACTCTTGGATCCAATCTTCTGCCAGCATGCTTAAGTGCTCAGTATTGCTGATAAATGTGATGACGTCCTGTACACTGGTGCTCAAGTCGCGGCATCCTTGCATCAGCTGCATCTTCTCTCTCTCTTTTTCTCCCCTTGTTTTTATTTCCAATACTTTAGATTCCTCATGCTCTATGAGTACTAATGTTACTTTGTTCTGCTCCACTAGCATATTAAGTCTTTTATGGAGTTGGTGGTGTTGGGTTTTCCAATCCTTCACCTGCTCCTGGTACTTCTTCAGCTGGGACAGTACTTCTTCGTAGTCAGTAATAAGCCTGTTGAAGCTGCTCTTTTGTTCGTTCATAAAGCATTTTAACATCTTACTGATGTCTTGGGAGCAGTCTTCATGAGGACCACCTAATATTGTTGTTGCTGTTACAGGCTGATTGCATTTGAGTTTCCTTATCAAAGCACTTGAATTGCAATTGACTGAGAACTGAGCAACATTTGTGGCACTGCACTCAGCAAAGCAACTGGGGCAAGTCAGCTGACTTTTCTCCATCACATCAACAATACAAGTTGAACAGAATTTGTGACCACATGACAGTGTTTGTTGCTTTTGTTGTGTTTTACCGAAGTTCTTAAAGCAAATTTTACATTCATCTTGCATATTATCCTGAAAATAGAGAGAATGCCATTTAACTTTAATCTGGTCCAATAGGCATGTAATTTTGCTTATACAGGTCCTGTATACAGTACAACTTTTATGTGAAATTAATGCACCACATAACTTTAAACTCGAGTACAAAATTTGTTTATATATAAATAATAATAATTATTATTATATTAAATTAGCCAGTACAGTTTACAAAATACTGTACTTTAAAGTGCAAATACAAAAAATATAAGATAAAATTATACACATACAGACTACGTAAAATGACCGCATGAAACATGTCAATAAAAATTTGTAAATACAAAAAACATACCTTTGTGTGCATAAGAACATAAAAACAGAAGAACACTGTGCCATACTCTACTCAAACAAAAAACCAAATGCACATGTTGGCAGAAATGTTAGCCAGAAACAAGTTAATACAGCAGCATGTAGTACAGTTAATGTAAACATACTGTACAGTATTTAACTGCATAAATAAGACATAATTACATGTGCAATTTGAGTACAAAATTCAGCAAGTCTAAGCATCGACAAAGAATCACATGAGGATACAGCATGTGCATGAAAGAAAACATAAGCACATTGAAAGAGCAAAAAACCAGCGTTGAATGTAATGAAACGCCATTTTCTGGGAGAGCCCTGGAGACTCCCTGAAGCTATCGGGCTAATATGTGATACATGAGAGCGGGGCATTAGTCTATGGAGTTCAGCCTATCGGGGACCATGAGCCAGAACCTGAACCCCGCAGAGAGGTGCAGGGAGCAATGGCCCTGAAAAACCTCCCTGTGGTTGGGGGTTTTCCTCATCTTACATCAATCGGGGTTAGGCACCCAAAAAACCAGCGTTGAATGTAATGAAATGCCATTTTCTGGGCGAGACCCGGAGGCTCCCCGGAGCTATCCAGGCTGTTATTGCTAATGTCAGACTTTGGCATCAGTCATGTGTATGGAGATCTTTAAGCCTACCGGGGACCACGAGCCAGAACCTGGCCCCCTCAGAGAGGCACAAGGAGCAATGGTCTATAGAAACCCCCATGTGATTGGAAGCATTCTATGTCTGCCATCGACCGGGTCAGGCACCCAGAAGGTAAGCATCCCAAAACAACCCCCCCTATTCTGGTTAAGAAATTGCTACTGACAGCCGAACTAGTGGATAGAACTCCCCAAATAAAACGAGCTAACGAGCATGACGTCACCACGTCGCCGTCTGTGCAACTCCCCCCTCCCCGGGAGGGGGAAGGGGAAGCCCCAGACCCCTTGTGCCGGCTACCCAAGACCTCAGTTCTGAGGCTAGATATCAAAACACACGAAAAACCGCTGACCAGAGGGAGGGAGGGTTGCTGGGGAGCCTCCGGGTCTCACCAAGAAAATGGTGTTTCATTACATTCAACGCTGGTTTTCTGGGGGGGAGCTCCGTCGGCTCCCCGGAGCTACCTACCAAAAGACGAAAACAAGAGGGACCTACTCAGGAGGCGGACGTCGCTCACTTCCAACGCGAAGCGGAGACAAAAGACTGCAACCGCCAACCCAAGGCCACACAGGGGCCCGACAAGGCCCAGGAACATCAACGAAGGAACACGTAGCCAACCTACAAATGTCATGGGCACGGAGACCGAACCACCCCGCGGACGACCCGAGAGAACCGCACCCTGGAACAGGGAAGAAGGGAAACCGGAGCAACCCAAAGCATGACCCCGGTCACGGCAGTTGTGGCACGCAAAGAACGGCGAAGCTTCGCAAGCGAACACAACACATGATGCACCCCTGGCCAGACCCACCAAGCATCAACAACCAAAGGACCCCTCCAGAAAACAGCCATGTCAGTCTCCACCAGAATAAGAGACGGCTGCAAGCGAACAAGCCCATCAAGAGGACCAAAAGAGCAGAACCCTGGCGCTGGATGAGAGCATGAAGCATGCCGACCTGACCCCCAGAGGTCAACGCCAACAAGAGCATCGGAAAACAATCCAGAACTGAAAGGACCACTGTATAAACATCAGAGGTCCACGGTTGTTTAACGTCCTCCCGGCGACTATAAGAAATATTACCGGAACAAGTTCCGGCAATAGTTCCGGATTAGCCGGGCTGTGGTGGGTATGTGGGCCTACGGGCCGCTCCAAGCAACAGCCTGGTGGACCAAACTCTCACAAGTCGAGCCTGGCCTCGGGCCAGGCTTGGGGAGTAGAAGAACTCCCAGAACCCCATCAACCAGGTACCATAAAAACCGAGAAGAGAAGAGAGCACCCAATCCAAGAACCAGGATGGCTCAAGCAGCGCAAGAGCAGGCCGGAAGTGAATCATGCCAGAGACAGCTCGCGAATTGGTGCAGAGAGAACACCAAAACCGAAGCAACCTGGAGCGGCTCCGCCAGCACCTCATGAGACAAGGCGACAGTATGTGGCAAAATGATGGCCCTAAACCTCCACAAGAGAAGGACAAGACCATGCCAACAAAACACAGCAAACCTACAAAGAGACAAAAAGAAAAAGGAAGGACCGCCAAAACACTCCACACCGGCGCCGAGACGAAGCACGCAGGTGAGGACACCATCAACAAAGCCACCTGAACACCAATAGAAGGCGAACATTGTGTGAAAACTTCAAAGCAATCGGTGCAGAACTTTCGGAGATTAGCGATTTTGAACAAACGAACATTTCTATTTTTATTTATATAGATATATATATATACAATGGGGGCCTCGACTTACGATACTAATCCGTTCACAGAGACGGATCGTAAGTCGAAATATCGTGAGTCAAAACGATTTTTCCCATAAGAAATAAAGGGAATTGAATTAATCCGTTCCCCACCCTCCAAAATATTAACATACAGTACAAATACATTTTATACTGAATACAATGTTTTTTTTTCTAACTACAATACAGTACCAAAGTTTATCTTACCTTTATGGAGAGCTCTTGATGGTGTATGGAAGATGGTGATGAGGGGGGAGGAGGAGAGTTGTTACTGTTTGGAAGGGGAGTACCCTTCCATTATCACATCAGGCAGTGATGTTTTCTCTGGGGTACACTCTCTCCTACGTTTTGCCTGAATACCACTAGGACCTGGTTGTGGTTCAGTGCTTGTTTGTCTCACTACAAATTTGTCAAGAGACATTTGTTTTTCCCTTCGTTTTAACATTTGTCTGTAATGATGCATCACAGTGTCATTGAATAGGTTAAGGCAACGACCTACTGCAGCTTGATTTGGGTGAGTCGTTTCAGCAAAGGTTTGCAATTCTTCCGATGCTGTACACATTTTCTTAATTGTTGAGAAAGAGACATTCTGTACTCTTGTTTCTGCTCTATGGTCATCCTTACATGGGTTTTCATATGTTGAGCCTTACCACTAACTTTCCTAGGACTCATGGCGTGATATATAATAATTACTTTAATGTTCAAAATGCAAAAAATCACCACAAAAGCGGAATTTCTTATAGGCATGATCGTCACTAAGCGGGCAGCTGTAGTAAACTGAGGCAGGTTGGCCGCGTGACCGGGAACCATGTGCTCGGTCGACCCTAACGTGTACCAACAAATATCAGAAGTCGACAACACCATCTGATGTCGAGTCGCATTTTTCGATGAAATTTACATCGTAACTCGAAATTATCGTAAGTAGGGGCAATCGTATGTCGAGGTGCCACTGTGTGTGTGTATATATGTGTGTGTGTATATATATATATATGTCGTACCTAGTAGCCAGAACACACTTCTCAGCCTACTATGCAAGGCCCGATTTGCCTAATAAGCCAAGTTTTAATGAATTAATGTTTTTTCGACTACCTAACCTAACCTAACCTATTTTTTTCGGCTACATAACGTAACCTAACCTATAAAGATAGGTTAGGTTAGGTTAGGTAGGGTTGGTTGGGTTCCGTCATATATCTACGTTAATTTTAACTCCAATAAAACAAAATTGACCTCATACATAATGAAATGGGTAGCTTTATCATTTCATAAGAAAAAAATAGAGAAAATATATTAATTCAGGAAAACTTGGCTTATAAGGCAAATCGGCAAATCGTAGCACGTATACGATTTTGGGCAGGTCTTTAATCTTAATTTAACCCCGAAATACGACCCACCAAATCGTTTAACAACAGGTACCCATTCACTGCTGGGTGAACAGAGGTTTCAGTTAAGGATTGGCGCCCAGTCAATCCTCTCTGGACAAGATCCGAACCCAGGCGAAAGCGCTCGCGAAGCGCTGGGGGAGTGTTTAACCGCTACACCACAGGAACTGTGAACATAATCACTGTGATAATATAATCATTGTTCTCACCATTGTTTGGTGGGCAACTGTGGAATGCAAATGTTGGCTGCAATCATCCATGGTGGTTATTTTACCTCTTCAGTCTTGCTGTAGATCACTGGATTGCCTATTTATATAAAAAAAATCCATTTACCTTTGATTATATAATTTATTTTTCAGTATAGTACAAATACAACAGGATATACACTTACAATGGAGGGACCTTAAACCCCTTCAAGGCAAGGCACCTTCAACAAGCCGCCGGCTTCCTGTCCTTGTCAAGGCCACTAGTGTTAGTGGCTCTCAGGTAAATCACAATATTTATGAGCATATTTAATATCACAGTAAGCTTCTGTTAATCTAGCCCTAATAATCTAAATCCCTGGATAATCTGATCAATCAGTCTCATCCAGATTTACCTCAATCATCTGGGTTAGGTGTTCATATAAGTGAGAGAATATTATCTAGATTTGAGGTGCCAAAGTCTTAGCTTTTCGTTATTACAAAAAAAAAAAAAAAAAATACACAATTCCTTATAGTTGAAGACAGGAAGCTGGTTAGGCTATTCGAAATCCTCCTAGGCCAACAACTGCTATTTTCCAGTATTCACCCCACAACAATTGACTAACTCCTGGGTACCAATTCAGTTATGTGAATAGAGGTATCAAGCGGTCCATCTAATTACCTAAAGCTACCCAAAGCCACTCAAAACCACCCAAAGCTTCCTGGCATTACATTAATAATGAATAAATATGATACAGTATATTTACTCATTATTATGTTGGTGCTGAATGTAGAACATGGAAAAACATATTTTTACTCTGAAAAAGAATCATTTAATAACGAAATTAGAAGAAAATAAGCTGCTGGTGACGCCAAAGCAAGTCGACAGTCCAAGCGACAATGTTGTGGAGCGACTTATCTAAGATATATTGTTGTGTACAAGTTATATTAGCTTAGGTTTGGATAGATTAGGTTTAGTTAGGTTAGGTTAGATTTTTTTAGGTTATGTTTGGGTAGTTTGGTTAGGTTGGATAGGTTGGTTAGGTTAGGTAGGTACAGAAGGCTGATATGCTAGCAAACACTCTCCAAGCAACAATGTGTCTTGGATAAGTTGCTCCACAACATTGTCGCTTGGATAAGTAAATAAATAATGGGTTTAACTTAAATTTACAGAGAAACCATCAGCTGTGGTATTATGTCACATCACCTAACTTAGGCATAACTTAGAATATTAAAAGTTGTTCAGTGTCAACCAAACTTTTTTCACTAGTTGTATATGAGAAGGGCTGCAACTGTTCCAAGTTTTATGCAACTGTTCCAAGTTTTAGTATCACAGCCTAAATAGAAAGGGAGAAAAAAAAATTTAAATGAATTTTCAACATTTTCAAAAATTTACTACAACCACAAAGTTCATATGAAATCATTTCTATGACACTCACCTATCACATCAGCATATAATAAAGGATTTGTCTTGCTGGATTATCCAAAATATGTTTAAGTTTCACTAATACAAATAGTCAAAGTTCCCAAAACATTTATGCAAAAATATTGTTTATAAATACTTATTTATAAAATCAATAAATGAACTTAGGAATAAAGTATCTTAGATTTATTGAAGACACATACTCTCTACATTTAAGGTGTATGTTTCATGTAAATTGAATAAGAAATGAAAGAGTAGACACTATTATATTACTTTGAAAAAAATTAAGTCAAAGATTCTGCCACCTGTGGCTGAGGTTGACATCAATCAATTTCCTTCAAAATTGGCACCCCTTACAGATTGGTTTACATTCAGTTAGGTGTGTAAGTTTCATGCAAATCGTCCCAACCAAAAATGAGAAAAAATTCTAGAAAAAAAATCTAATTTTTTTAACAACAAAATTTTTGGGATAAAACTAATTATTAAAATCCTTTATTATATGCTATTGTGATAGCTGAAAGTTATAGACATGATTTCAGTTGACACTTGTGTTTGATGTTAATTTTTTATCATTTTGGAAAAATGTTGACACATAATTAAAAAATATTCTCCCTTCCTATTTATGCTACGATACTGAGACTCGGACCAGTTGAACCGCTTTTCATATACAACTAGTCAAGAAAGTTTGATTGAAATTGAACCAGTTTTCATTTATTGCATATTTTTTTGGTTATGCCCCCCTTAACACAAGAAAGGAATGCATTCAGCCTCTTTCATCAACAAAACAATTACTGTGCACAATACCATCCCTCAGTAATCAAATCTGAAAAGATCAACCTTTCAGGTGTTTTGTCAGATTTCACTAGATTTTGTATCTTTCTCTTTAGTAGATGATTTGTTGAGGAAGTTGTTAAAGAGTATACAGAATGAAAGATATGTAAGAGTTAAAATACAAAAAAATACAAATATTTATTCAGGTAAAGTACAAACATACAAAGTGAGATACAAAAGTTGATGGATTTATAGATAGAGCTAGTGCATACAATGCCTAAAGCCACTATTACGCTAAGCGTTTCGGGCAGAATTGTAGAACCAAGTATATTACAGCTATTGTAGAACCAAGTATATTACAAAAAGGGGTTGGCCTCAAATAATACCCTGGCAGTATTTCTATCAGCATTTTCCAAATATTTTTTTCACAGGTGGGTACAGGTATAGACAACTTCTGACTACTGTTGGCAGGCTTAGTGCTTTCCCTTCCTATAGCTTATATTAAACTTTACCCCCATTAGTTTTCCCCTGGAACACACCCACTAATTGGCTTATAACTAGGTCCCCAATTACTGGTGGGTGAACAGGATCAAAGAGTTTAGGATTGGTACCCAGGCAACAACTCTACATGGCCAGGGCTCGAATGAATGGCATATTTCCTCGTGAGGCAAGAGGGACGAGTCTGTTCCCACTGCATGTCCTTGACAAGGCCCCCTAGAGAGATAGTGGCCACTCAGGTAAATTCAGGTATAAATATAAGATAATTATTCTTTAGTTATGTAATGTAACCAACAATGAAGAAATGAACACCACGAGATCCTCAGACTCTGTATAGCACATCATACTAGCTCAAAATAGAAGCAAACTGACAGTGGGAGTATGCTACAGGAATGACACAGCAGCAGCAGAGGAAGTTGCTGATCTGCATTATGTGATCAATGTAGCACCAGAAACCTGAACCCTTATAATGGAGGACTTCAACCACGATGTGTAGCCATCAATGATATAACCTCTCACACTCTACCAATAACCGTTGGAATGCCACAGGGCAGCATCTTGGGACCTCTCCTATTTCTTATATATATAATTTTGCTGATACTATCCTCATCTATTCAGACCCTAACTCACATACTCTAAATAATGTTGTGAATAATGAATTATAAAAAGTCCACTTATGGATGTCAACTAACAAAATAAGACTAAACATAGAAAAGACCTACTACATCTTATTTGGAAGCAAATTATCAAATGCAATTCAGCTACAGATATACAATATTAACATCAGTAATAAAAATGATGGAAAGTTTCTTGACCTATTCCTAGACAAGAGACTCAACTTCAGCACCCACATTCAACACATAACTCTCTAAAACGGTTGGTATACTCTTCAAAATCAGATATTATGTTCCTAACTCTGCTCTCCTCTCACTATATTATGCACTAATCTATCCCTATCTTAATTATGGTATCTGTGCATGGGGGTTAACCACTGCAAACCACCTCAAGTCCATCATCACCTAGCAAAAATCTGCTATCAGAATAATAAACTCTACTTCCAGAGAACACTCAGCCCCCTTGTTTAAATCCCTAAACATGCTAAACATTAACTCACTCCACACATTCTCTTGTGTCAACTACATTTACAAAACCCTGTTCTTAAATGCAAACCATGCTCTGAAACTCTTCCTGGACAGATTTAATATGACCCATTGTGTTGACCAGACCACACACTAGAAGGTGAAGGGACGACGACGTTTCGCTCCGTGCTGGACCATTCTCACAATCGACTTGAGAATGGTCCAGGATGGACCGAAACGTCATCGTCCCTGCACCTTCTAGTGTGTGGTCTGGTCAGCATACTGCTACGTTATTGTGACTCATCGCCTGCATATGACCCATTATCACCACACCAGAAATAAATATATCTTTGATATCCCCAGAGTCACACTTAATCTATGTAAACACTCTATGCAAATAAAGGGATCTAGTTTATAGAACTCACTCCCTAATGAATTGAAAAGCTGTTCAACTTTTGCCTCATTCAAAAACAAAACCAAAAAGTACAGTACCTAATTTCATCTTCATAGTTTCCTACTCTGCACTTTAAAATTGCTTTGTATCTAGTGTTACCCAATCTCTCAATCTTTATGTACTTATTCCAAACAACTTTACCATTGTGATCATTGCTGTCTTCTTATATGTGCTAGCAATATGCTGTAATATGGCTAGCAATGTGCCTATTAATCTTTGTTAAATTACCATTCAAGCTGTCAATGCAATCAATCTGATTTACCTATGTGCTTTAATATACCTACAAATCTCTCTCATCTCATTTTTTTTTCTTGCAATGTACCTGTTATCATTTTATAAATTTTGCTAGTATTTACCTACTTAAAATTTTCTGTTAGATTCGGGCAGGTAGGGACCTGCCCGAAACACTACGCGTACTAGTGACTTTACAAGAATGTAATCACTATGCAATGTATCCTCACAATCCCAATGTACCTTCTTGTATATATATAACTAAATAACTAAATAAATAAGTAAATAAATGAGACAATGCATTGGGTAAATCTAACATCAGAAACAGAAGAACAATTTCTTGACATGGTACAGGACTCCTTTCTCACACAGCATGTAGCAGAGCTCACTCAAGGTAACAGCATTCTAGATCTTGTGCTAACATCAGAAGAGGACATGATCAATCAAATTCAGGTACAGGAAAGGCTCATCCCTTTATGATCACAATATTCTAACACAGATTACAATTACAGAAACCTATGTAAAGGTTAAGGATGATGACTTTCTAGATTACCCTCATGAAGATAAGCAAAGAATAAAAGAATTGTAATACACCTCTTGGAGGGGGCTAATAGGTGATCATGGTATGCAACAGTTTCAATCTCAACAAGCCCCAATGCAGGACTGAGAACAGGAGATGCTTTTTCACCCACAGGGTTATAAACCCATGGAATTGCCTACCCACTGAAGCCGTAAATGCTAAAAACTGTGTAAAGTTTTAAAATCTACCTGGAAAAGATCAAGGCAAATGGGAGGACCTTCAACAAGCCACAGGCTTCCTATCCTCGTCGAGGCCACTAGGGTTACTGGCCCTCAGGTAAATCAGGAAGTATCATGGGAAAATTTTAAAGTGTCATCACTGAACTCATTAACAAATATGTGCCAAAAAGATAAAGAAAACAAAGGAACTAGATGGATGACACAGGCAATATAAAAAAAAAAAACATATAATAGCTAAGTGGAACCTCTGGAAAAGGTATAACAATAAAAAAAAGAACAACACTGATTATGAAATATATAGAAGGGTGTTAAATTCAGCCACCAGAAAATCAGATCAGCCAAAAGAAAATACAAAAGAAAACTTCTCAAAAATATAAAGAAAAATCCAAAGTCGTTCTATGCCTATATAAGAGGTAAAACCAAAACAAAGAGACTGTATGACCCTTAAAAGATTTTTTTTTTTTTTTTTTTTTTTTTTTTGAGATATATACAAGAGTTGTTACATTCATGTACAGCCACTAGTACGCGTAGCGTTTCGGGCAGGTCCCTGGAATACGATCCCCTGCCGCGAAGAATCGTTTTTTCATCCAAGTACACATTTTACTGTTGCGTTAAACAGAGGCTACAGTTAAGGAAATGCGCCCAGTAAATCCTCCCCGGCCAGGATACGAACCCATGACATAGCGCTCGCGGAACGCCAGGCGAGTGTCTTACCACTACACCACGGAGACTGTAAATATATAGAAGATGAGACTAACTAAGTTATAATGGATAATAGGGCAGCAAATACTCTGAATGAATACTGTACTTCACATCAGTGTTCACACTGTAGAGATTATACACCATCCCACTGCCCACAAACATGTTTGAAGAAGGTGAAGAGAACAAATTAAGGAATATTCCCATAATGTGCGACATAATAAGAAGAGCACTGACACTAAAAAGATTAAAGAAACTGCAGGTTTGGACGGAATTCAATCCAGAGTCATTAAGGAACTGGCAAATGAACTATGCCTACCACTGAAGCTTCTTTTAAGAAAATCTCTAGACCAGGGGATATTCCTCAAGATAGGAAATATGTGACTGTCACCCATATTCTTAAGGGGCCTTAAGTTAGAAAAGGTGAAAGTTGATCAAGTTCAATCAAACTTTATTTGCTAGTTGTATCGAACATTATTTGCTAGTTGTATCAAACTTTATTTGCTATTTGTATATGAAAAAGGCTGCAACTGGTACAAGTTTCGGTATCGCACCCTAAATAATAAGGGAGAAAAAAAAAAAATTTCAACAAATTTTTCACATTTTCATTAAGTCAGTACAACCACAAGTTTCAAATTAAATCATTTCTATGACACTCTTCTATAACTATAACATATAATAAAGGATTTGTCTAAGCGGATTATCCAACATGTTTAGTTTTACTAATACAGTCAAATTTCCCCAAAAATTTATGCCAATATTTCATGTTCGCAAATATTTATAAAATTAATAAATGAACTTAGGAATAAAGTGTTTTAGAGAGAGATTGTAGAGATGTAAACTCTACATATAAGATGTAAGTTTCATATAAATTGAATAAAAAATGAAAGAGGACTAGAAATTTTATGTTACTTGACAATAAATAAAGTCATAGATTCTTCAACCTGTGATTGAGGTTGACATCAACCAATTTCCTCCAAAATTGGCACCCCTACAGATAGGCTTACGTTCTGTAAGGTGTATAAGTTTCATGCAAATCGCCCAATAAAAAAAAAAAATTGAGAGAAAAAATAAAATCTAATTTTTTTAACAACTTTTTTTGCATAAAACTAATTATTAAAATACTTTATTATATGCTATTGTGATTGCATAGAGTCATAGATATGATTTCAGTTGTCACTTGTGTTTGATCTTAATTTTTTACCATTTTGTTAATTTTTTTAAATATAGTTCAATATTTTTTTCTCCCTTCCTATTTATGCTACGATGCTGAGACTTGGACCATATGAAGCTCTTTTCATATACAACTAGTCAAAAAAGTTTGATTGAAATCAAACTAGTTTTCATTTATTGCATATTTGAAAATTATGGCTCCTTAAAAAAGGAAGAAAGAGCTCTGCAGAAAACTACCATCTGATCAGCTTGACTTCACACATCTGCAAGCTCATGGAGAGAATCCTAAAGGGGTGAATCATTTACTATCGCACAGTGAGTAAGTTAATAAAATCAATGCCACATGGGTTTGTTAAAAATAGATCCTGCCTTACAAACATACTCACATTTTTGTAAACAGTAACCAACTATTCAAAGGACTTCCAGTAGATGTAGTATACATGGGCTTTACTAAAACTTTTGACAAGGTACCACATGAAAGATTAGCAAGGAAATCACACACGGGATAAATGGTAGAATACTAGAATGGATGAAACAATGGTTAAAACAAAGAAAGTGAAGGGTAGTCCTTAATGAAAATGAATCTGACTGGAGAAATGTGGTAAGTGGGGTACTACAACGGTTCATTTTGGGGTCAACACTTTTTGTCATACATCAATGACATAGATGAGACTATTACAAACCACATCATCAAATTTGCAATGACAATGAGATTCATGGTAAACTGGGAAGTAAAAATGAGATTGATGTCTCACAAAAAGATCTACATGAACTCCACAAATGGTCAGACGACTGGCAAATGTCTACCTACCAAAGCTGTAAATGTCAAAACACTGCTGAATTTTAAAATCCAGCTGGAAAAAATTATCAGGGCAAATGGGGGAGTCCTTTAACAAGCCAAATTTTATATAACCAGTTCCCCACAACAGTAGATCTCTTAGTACAGTCGGCTTCGTTCTCAACTCCCAATGGAGAATCCCAGGTTCGATTCCCAGGCAGGACAGAAATAGCTAGATGTTTACTTACACCTAATGCCTCTGCTTAATTAGTAGTAAATAGTCCCCCCAGAAGTTAACTGTTGTGCGGATGCATCCTGAGGAAGTCAATTGTTCGACTTTTGGAGGACTTCAATACAAACCTATAGTATACACTCTTGTTCCTGATGAGACAAAAATGAATGAAAAATAAATTATTGAATTAAAAAGCAAATAAGTCAACTTAAAGATCCAGTAGCCGAAGTCATTATGAGACACTAATATGTCTATTACCACCCACGGGATGGGTATGAGGTCAATATTTTATTTTTATTTTATTTATGCATATACAAGAATGTACATAAGGAATGTGAGGATACAAATATGGTAATTACAGTCTTGTAAAGCCACTAGCACGCGCAGCGTTTCGGGCAGGTCCTTAATCTAAGAAAATTTTAAGGAGGTAAATACTTGCAAAATTATAGACAAAAAATGATAACAGATTACATGAAATGAAAAAAAAGATGAGAGAAAATTGTAGGTACAGTATATTAAAGCACATAGGTAGCTAAGATTGATTGCAATGACAGCTTGAATGGTAGTTGACAAAAAAATTGGTAGGCATAATACAGCAGAAACAATATAAGATTGGTTGCAATGACAGCTTGAATGGTAGTTGACAAAAATTGGTAGTCACAATACAGCATATGGCTAGCACATAAAAGAAGACAGCAATGAACACAATGATAAGGTTGTTTGAAATTACTATTAAAACTATTATATTATAAAATTATTATTAATATTAAAACTAATTACATGTACACTAAAACTATAAATGATCATACCAACTCTAACCATACATGATCTAACTTGACAGTGTCAGACCACAGAGAAAAATTGAAACAGGAATTTCCTTAAGTACTTTCGTATATTAATACATCTTCAGAAGGAGTGTACTCCTTCTGAAGATGTATTAATATACGAAAGTACTTAAGGAAATTCCTGTTTCAATTTTTCTCCGTGGTCTGACACTGTCACATTTTTAATCACGTGTTTATTTTCGTGATATACACACACAATCTAACTTATCTCTACTTCAAATTCTGAAACCAGTGCTCAGTCAAGTTGCCCCTTTTACTACTCACCCCAACAACTTAGCATTGCTTACTCGACATGAATGGTCAGGTTAAACTAGGCTCTTTTTTGTTATCTCTATAATATAGTTATGAAGGTCATTTCTGGTACTGAATGAGTCAGAACTGAGTCAATTTAACCTGAAACCGTCATTCTAAACTAACCTTACCTAACTTTGATCACTATAGACAATACAATAAACAGTTGGTAAACTAAATTAACGTAAACATATGCAATCTGATATTTTTAATATAGTTTCAGATTGTCATTGACAAAACCTGCTGGGGATATAATGGTACCCTAGGCCAGCTGGATACCAGCTCAAGACAAGTCGCTCCATATTTTTTTGTTCAATCTTGCCCCTAAACACTTTTCTTGCTTAAGTTAAGTAACTTATTACATATTATTTAATATATCAAGAAAAAAAATCACCAAAACAATAACACGTCCATAGAGTCTCGGCGACTCGCTAAAGAGATTACTATTAATAAAAATCAGCGCACTAACACAGGATCCGCTCCCAGTCGAAGACTCCGCTCGTGTTGACTCCATGTCAGCAACAAACACACATGTTATTTTAACCAATAGATGTACTGCAATCATATTCGTCAACATCAATTTGACTAAGCTGACCCATTCAAGACTAAATATAGCCCTAATACAGAAATGTATTAAAGCATTATATATTAATTTTCCTTTTTTCTAATATGTAACACAATGGGAAAAATATGATATCCGTTAATGATGCTGGCATGGACACGGTGGTGTTGGGTGGACGTGTGCGGGACGTGTCCACACCAGCTTGCTGTTGCACAACACTCGACTCGTCAATTTCGAATTATTATTAATTTATTTATTTATATATATATATACAAGAAGGTACATTGGGGGTTAAGAGAGAACATAAAAATGAAATTGATTTTACATTCTTGTAAAGCCACTAGCACGCATAGCATTCGGGCAAGTCCTTAAACTAACAGATAATTTTAAGTAGATAATTCACAGCCTTTAGGTATTGATGATTGATTGATGAAGATTAAGCCACCCAAAATGTGGCACGGGCATGAATAGCCCGTAAGTGGTGGACCTTTTGAGCCATTACCAGTATCAAGAGCTCATACTGGAGATTTGTGGAGGTGCGACTGCACCCTGCGTGACGGGAGATGTCTTCCGTGCTTTAGGTATTGTATGTACTAGCTCTATCTATTATGTCCAACAGTATGTTTGTAACTCTGCATCTATGTATGTACGTTTCCTAAATAAAATGTTAATATTATTATTATTATTATTATTATTATTGTTGTTATTATTTTTATTGTTATTATTATTATTATTATTACATCTGTCCAAGAAGAGTTTCAGAACAGGGTTTACACTTAAGAAAGGGGTTTTATAAATGTAATTGACACAAGAGAATGTATGGAGTGAATTTATGTTTAGCATGTTTAGGGATTTAAACAGGGGAGCTGTGTGTTGTCTGAAAGCAGAGTTTATTATTGTCCTGATAGCAGATTTTTGCTGGGTGATGATAAGCTTGAGGTAGTTTGCAGAGGTTGAACCCTATGCATAGATACCATAAGTAAGATAGGGATAGATAAGTGCATAATAGAGCGAGAGGAGAGCAGAGTTGGGTACATAATATCTGATCTTAGAGAGTATACCAACTGTTTTAGACACCTTTTTAGTATACCAACTGTTTTAGACACCTTTTTAGTTATGTGTTGTATGTGGGTGCTGAAGTTGAGTCTCTTGTCTAATATAGGCCAAGGAACTTTCCATCATTTTTATTGCTAATGTTAAAATTGTCTATCTGAAGCTGAATTGTGAATTGCATTTGTTGATTTGCTTCCAAATACGATGTAGTAGGTCTTTTCTATGTTTAGTGTGAGTTTGTTGGTTGACATCCACAAGTGGACTTTTTTTTTAATTCATTGTTTACAACATTACATTACATTTCAACATTGGGGCCTGGTAGCCTGGTGGATAGCGCCAAACTCGTAATTCTGTGGCGCGGGTTCGATTCCCGCACCAGCCAGAAACAAATGGGCAAAGTTTCTTTCACCCTGTGGCACCCCCTACGGTTAGTGTGAGAGGTTATATCATTGATGGCTACATATTGGTGTCTGTCACTAAGATAGGATCAGTTATAGTTCAGGGCAAGGCCTCGGATTCCATAATGGTGGAGTTTAAGTAAGAGGTAGTTATAGTTAACAGTAAGCCTTTATTCTCAGGTCAATGAAGAGTCCAATCGGAAACTCACTTTTGTCAAGGGCTGAGTAGATTAAGTCAAGCAGACTAACAATTGCATCATTGGTACTCTTTTGGGAGCTGAAGCCAAGTTGACAGGGACTTAGTATATTGAATTTTACGAGATAGGAGTAGAGCTGTTTGTAAATATTTTTTTCAGATATTTTTTGATAATATAGGTAGATTTGATATGGGTCTGTAATTATTTATGTCTGCCGTGTTACCTCCTTTATGAACTGGCGTTACTCTTGCTTTTTTAAGGATATCAGGGAAGGTATGACACTTTAGAGATATATTGAACAGCAAAGCTATGGGTGGTGCAAGGGCAAGGGAGGCACTCTTGTATACCATGGATGGTATTTCACTAATGTTCCCAGCTTTGGATTTTAGTGAGTGAATGATGGACACATCTGTAGGACTGATCGGTGAGAGGAGAAGAGAGTTTGGATACCTGCCTGAAAGCTATGTGGTAACATGTGTCTGGGTCTGTGAGATTTTTCGGGCAAGGTTAACACCAATCGATGAAAAGAAGCTATTAAATTCAGTTGCTGTTTCAAGATCTGTTGAAGGTGTATAACCATCCTTGGAGATTTCTATCTGGTTATGTGAATGTTGTTTAGCTCCTAAGATGTTAGAGATGGCTATCCATGTGCTTTTCATGTTGCCTTTTGCTTCTTTGAATCTATTCTCGTAATAGGAACGTTTGCTCTTCTTATTATACTGGTAAGCACTGACGAGTACCTCTTAACTACTTCCTTTGCAACTAGGCCAATCCTGAAGTTTTTCATATTCATGTTTTTTGTCGATTGCTTTGAGTATGCCATTAGTGAGCCAGGGATTATTTAACCTTTTGCCAGTTACTTGCTTGGTGAGGAGAGGACAATAAGTATTGTAAAGGCTTAAAATTATGTGTAGGAACACATTTAGAAGTTTTTAGGGTGTATAAATCATCATAGAAAATGAGAGTAAATAATTAAATATGAAGTCTAAGCTTAATTACAACAGATCCTGCATGCTATGCAGACGAGATTTGCGTCATTGCAAACAGTGACAACTGGCGGCAGACTCCTTGATACACCTACAAATAAATGTATAGAATGTGGGCTTATTGTCTCCACAAATAAAACCAGGACCTTATTTCCCCCCCCCCCCCCCCCCACCAAATCAATAATCCTCCTGCTTTTAAAGTCAATGATCAGGGCATTGAAAACTGGAGGCAATATAAATACCTCGGTGTGAATATTAATAGCGACATTGTAAGTGAACTACAGTTTAAGCTTAAAGAAAGGCTAAGTTCCCTTAAAACGCTTGCTGGAAAGCACATAGGTATTAATGTCAAATATGCCAGAATGTTCTACATGATGTTCATCAGGTCACTAGTCGACTACCATGCATTGCACTTTATTTGTCTCCCTAGCAATAGGCTGAAAGCTTTAGAAAAAAAATCCAAAATGAAGCCACGGGGATAATTCTTGGAGCCCCCAGATGCACAAGAATCATCAACATGAGGGAGGAGCTGAAACTCTCAACCATATGTGAAAGAATTGAGCAGCTTCAGTACTCTACCTTCGGTGTAAGAGTGATAAGAGATCCAACATCACCCCTTACTACATAGAGAAAAACTGACTAGTGCTGTATGTAGGCGGGAGAGTGTTGCCAACGCACCAGCGGGCAACCTATATACAAGCTGCTTGAGTAGAAGTGTTGCTAATCTCATTAAACTAAATATTCCTTTTGTATGCAAAGTACTAGCCAGTGATATTCCATTATATCTGTTCCCTGAAATACAAGTGTCTTACACGCCCATCAGCAAAAGTTAGTTTAGTTCATTTATTATGCACCCCATACCCATCTTGTGGGCGGTAGTGGAAAGGGTTACAGAGGCACATAATGGGCTCAGGGACTGAACCCCACAATTCATTTAGCAAAGCAAGTTACAATCTTGATGAGCTAGTTACAAAATTCAATATAAGTCGTCACATCAACAATGGGTTCGAGATCGACCTCAAGTACAGGTTCTAAATTAAGCAACTGACATATGTGGAGAGCTAGTGTCACAATTTATATGTTTGTCCTGCACACCAACCCCCCCCCCCATCCAGTGGGCAGCGGTGGATAGGTTACAATCACTTAGTTACTACCTACAGTTAGCAAACTGGGGATATTTGGCTAAAATTTCTGGTAGCAGATCATTTTGAATGAAATATTGACACATCGCTGGAACATTGGTTATAGAATTGTCTCTAAATTCACGTATCTTTTCGCAAAAAGAACAAGGAAAACCCAGCACTCCTAAGAGCAACAGTTTAGTTTAGTTCATTTATTATGCACCCCATACCCATCCTGTGGGCGGTAGTGGAAAGGGTTACAGAGGCACATAATGGGCTCAGGGACTGAACCCCACAATTCATTTAGCAAAGCAAGTTACAATCTTGATGAGCTAGTTACAAAATTCAATATAAGTCATCACATCAACAATGGGTTCGAGATCGACCTCAAGTACAGGTTCTAAATTAAGCAACTGACATATGTGGAGAGCTAGTGTCAAAATTTATATGTTTGTCCTGCACACCGCCCCCATCCAGTGGGCAGCGGTGGATAGGTTACAATCACTTAGTTACTACCTACAGTTAGCAAACTGGGGATATTTGGCTAAAATTTCTGGTAGCAGATCATTTTGAATGAAATATTGACACATCGCTGGAACATTGGTTATAGAATTGTCTCTAAATTCACGTATCTTTTCGCACTCCATCACATAGTGACGGAGGGTGTGCGAATAATTTTGTTGACACAGTTTACATTTGGTCAGGTCTACATCAGCAGATAATGAGAATTCCCAGAGATACTTGTAACCGAGTCTAAGCCGAGCAGTAGTAACATCTAGAAGTCTGCTGATTTTATTGGATGATCCATAGATGTGTGGCTCCTCTTGCATGATAGTATGATGATAGATGGAATTACTGGTGTCAATTTCACTTTGCCTCAGATCTACAAGATCTTGTTGAAGTTCTCGGTGTACAGCTGCTCTCAGATTGCTCATTGACAATCCAAGGTTACACTCAACGGCTCCTTTAAAGGCAGATTCTTTGGCTAACTTATCAGCTCTATCATGCATTCGGAGGCCAACATGAGATGGAGACCACATGAAATGGACTCTGTTACCATCCTTAATAATTTTGTTGTATTTGTGTCTAGCTTCGGACACGAGCATGTTACAGTTATGTCTTAAAGAGTTGAGAGCATTTAAGGATGATAAGGAGTCACTTACAATTAATGTATCAAGTTTTGAGACTTGTACACATTTCAGTGCAAGGATCAAGGCAAATAGTTCAGTCTGAAGGGTAGAGGCCCAGTTGTTTATACGGACTCCCCACTCAAAGTATAGGCCATCGCCCATTGTCAGGACAACTGCACTTCCAGCTGCACCCGTGGTGCGGTGTAGGGAACCATCAGTATATATAATTTGAGAGAGAGAATGCTCTGTGGACAGAGCATCAATATGGCTTAAGGCGTTCAGCTTCGTCTTGAGGTAAGAGCAACAACACTTGAAATAATTGATTCCTTTATAAGTAACTTACGGCCTCACGAGCACTATGCATACGCTGATGGGTCTGTTCAAATGTCAACAGGTCTCACTGCAGCAACCTGTAGAATATACAAAGACAACATATGTATACAGACCACAAGTGTGAGACTGAATAACTGGCTTAGCTCCACACATGCAGAGTTAGCTGCACTACAACTTGCCACTAACACACTGAAGAAAATTGGAGGAGTTGAGTTGAAGTGGAGGAGTAATTTTCTGTGATTCGAAGACAGCTCTTCAAGCCCTTAAAAACCCAAGATGCAAAATAGACACTTGGAATGTTGTAACATCCATTATAAACAACATTATTAATGCAAAGAGCAAGAGTTTCCGAATCTCATTTGCATGGATATACCATCTCACATAGGTGTTGTCTAGCATCATGACACAGACAAGGCAGCTAAAACTGCATGTGATAAGTCTGAAGTTAAGTTGGATATGGGCATCTTATTATCTCAGCCGCAATACAGGAAATTAGCGAAGTCGGAAGAGCAGTCACCGACACACAAAGGCCAGAGAGCACGAGTATAAAGAGTTATGACAGGTTTAGAACCGATAATTATATGTACGGGCAGTATGAAACATCCACTAGCTTAGTTCATTTATTATGCAATCACATCTTTGGAACACTGGTTATAAAATTGTCTCTGAGTTCTCGTATCTTTTCGCACTTCATCACATAGACAATGTAACATTGTAATTACCAGAATTAGGCTGGGATATCGATATCTATGGTAAGTGGCTGCAGGTACTGAATCCCCCAATGGTGAACATTTAAATTGTAAACTATGTGAACAAGAGCTGGGACACACTCTCCAACACTTTATCTGTGATTGCCCTGCAATAAGTGACTTCAAATCAAATGGTATGTGGTACTTTGAGCTCTGTAATTACTTCATTCACTCAGGAATATTGGAAGATATACTTATGCTGTACCCAGATTTTGCTAGTGGGGGCTAATAGGCTACTATTTGTCTCCCTATATCCATAATGTATAAATATAAAGGTTGAACAATGTTGTAATTCATTAGGGAGTGAGTTCCATAGACTGGGTCCTTTTATTTGCATGGAGTGTTTGTACAGATGTAGTTTGACTCTGGGGATATCAAAGAGATATTTATTCTGGTGTGTTGCTCACGGGTTCTATTACACCTATCAAGGAAAAGTTTCAGATCGAGATTAGCATTTAGGAAGAAAGTTTTGTACATGTAAATAGCACATGAGAATGCGTGGAGTGAGTGTATGTTTAGCATGTTAAGGGACTTAAGTAGAAGGGCTGTGTGTTGTCTGAAGACAGAGTTTGTTATAGTTCTGATAGCAGATTTCTGCTGACTGATGATGGGCCTGAGGTAATTTCGCAGTGGTTGAACCCCATGCGCAGTTACCGTGTGTAAGATAGAGATAGAGTAGCGCGTAGTATAATGAGCAGAGTGGATTAGTGGATTATTATTATTATTAACATCTTTATTGACAAAATTAATTACAATTTTGCCTAATCTGAGGATTTCGATTAAGTCTTATTAAAGTGAGGATAATTCTGGAATACTGTCACGCAGGACAGAGGTTCATACATAAGACAATAAGTCTAAACTGTAGGCGGAAGTACATATATATCATGGTTACAATCAATGTTTTAATGTATGAATATGTAAAAATAACTTTCTATTGTGCACTGCCACACAAGGGCAGGGATGGGTTCATAAGTCATGCAGCTTAGAAGTAATATAAATAAAAATTGTTCTTCATTCTTTAAAATGGACAAGCAAATTTTGGATAAATTGTTAGGATGTCGTCCAGAACACCTGAGTCAATAAAATAGTTACACAGTTGGTGGCCAGGAGGTCTAAAGTCCTTTACGGTTTCACATTCAACAATATAGTGTTCTAGTGAATGCATTAAAGGTTTATCACAGAGTTTACAATCTGAGTATTCTGGTAGTGACTCAGCCTCACTAACCTGCCAGATGTGTCTATAGCCAAGGCGAATTACCGCAATGACTACATCACATTGCCTGGTCCGGTTACTGTGCTGACCATACAAATACCTATTATTACAAAACTCGTCATAACTTTTAATACTGCAGCTTTCAGGTCTCTGGGCATTTCTTAGTTCTTCTAAGTCTGAATAAATTTCTTTAATTTGTATGTTTCTAATAATTGCATTAGATAGTCCATAGTCATAATCAATCAGAGTGGAGAACATATCTGATTTTAGCGAGTATACCGACCATTTTGTTATACTTTTTTGGCTATGTGTTGAATGTGGGTGCTGTAGTTGAGTCTCTTGTCTATGTAAAGGCCAAGGAATTTCCCTCCTTTTTGTTGCTAATGTTAACATTGTCCATCTGAAGTTGAATTTAATTTGATGATTTACTCCCAAATAAAATGTAGTAGGTAATTTCTACGTTTATTGTGAGCTTGTTGGTTGACATCCATGAGTGGACTTTTTTTTAATTCATTATTTACAATATTATTTAGTGTGTGGGGTCAGAATCTATTTATCTATTTGCGGTTAGAGTAGATGAAGGTAGTATCGTCAGCAAATACAATACGTTTAAGAATGTTAGAAACATGGTCCAGGACGGACCGAAACGTCGTCGTCCCTTCACCTTCTAGTGTGTGGTCTGGTCAACAAGTGATTATATAATTATATGTTATATTATACAAATTACATATATGTGTATTTGTAACTTTTTGTTTAGTAATAATGTTGTAACTTGAGACGACCACCAAAACCATATTACACAACCTTTTGCCAATGTTGTTAACAAAATGTAAAAGCGTTTTTGTGTTTGGCGAAACTACTTTGTCATTCTTTGGTGTCCTGTTGAAGATACGGCGCGTGCTGGAGGTCCCCGTCACTACCACTCCTGCTGGCCTTACTCCTCCGTCTGGACCTATGAACACAACCAAGGAATTAATCTATTTTCTAAATTAATATTTACAAACACACACACACACACACACACACACACACACACACACACACACACACACACACACACACACACACACACACACACACACACACACACACACACACTAAGAATATTCGTATGACTTGAATATTCCGGGGAAAATTAAGATTAAGGACCTTCACGAAACAGTATGTGTGTTAGTGGCCTTACAAGAATGTGAGAACTCTTGTATATATAAATAAACCAAACACTTAGAATAATCAAGCGTACCTTTGACTTTAAGGAAAAGAAAGTAATGATTCAAGTGTATAAATCTCTGGTGCGCCCCATTTGGATTACTGTATCCAAGCATAAAGACGTCATCTTCAGAAAGACAAAGCTGCTCTGGAGAAAGTGAAACACAGGCCAAGAAAAATAATTCCAGAGCTAAGTCAACTCATGTACGAGGAACGGTTGAGAGACACAGGACTAACAACACTGCAAACCAGGTATGACAGGGCCGATTTCACTGAAACTTATAAAATATTGAACAAATTGGAGGATGTTGATCCGGATTTCTTTTTGTTTTAGACGGTCAAATGTAACACAAACAAAGAGCAACGGTTTCAAGCTCAACAAGCCACAATGTAGGACTGAGAACAGGCGATGTTTCTTCACCCATGTGGTTATAAACCCAGGGAACTGCCTACCCGACGAAGCCGTAAATGCCAAAAACTCTATTAACATTTAAAGTACAGCTGGAAAAGATCATCGAGGCAAATGAGGGGACCTTCGACTGTCCTCATCGAGGCCACTAGTGTTAGTGGTTCTCAGGTAAATAAAACAAATAATAAGTATTATTAGTTACTAAAATGCATTCAACTGAAATGTTTGAGTGCCTTAGGGTTTGGTTTTCCTTCTTTTAACTGTATTGTTATTGACAAACCTCAGCGTAGGTTCTTAATACACTCAGTGGGAGGTGAGGAATGATGGCCATTCTCGGTGATTGATGGTTACTTAAGAGCACCTTCTATAGTTTTAAGATGATTAAATTTATATGCCTTTATTGTGTGACAAAACCAATCTGTCCTAATCTAGCCACTGCCGGTCCTGTATAATGATATACCTAGCATGTTTGTGTCACGTCTCTATGGCTTCTTGTCCCCCCTGACACAATGAATTATTAAATTATTATATATTATTTTGCCATGATATTTTTCATGTTTATTTCCTGCTGTACATATATTTGCTTGTACCGGTGAGTATGTTGTTCTATAACTCATGGAGTACAGAGGTAAATACCTTGGGGTATAATGCAGCAGAGTAAGCTTAGTGTGCTGTTGTTGTAAGTGAACAATTAATAACTAATGTTAAAAAGTTTGTCAAATGTTGAGGTTGGATCTTCAGGAAGGTCAGTAGTTAGACCTTCGGAGGGACCTGGATATACAAGTAAACATATAAACAGGCTTCCTGTTACCCTGTTACCGACAACGGGAATTATTTTTATCATTATTTTTATTATTGATCTACTTGTTGGCGTTAGCAAGAATAAGCATTATTTATTTACTTATTACTTATCATATGAGTATTTAAAGAACAGCTGTTAAACTTGAAGCTCGAGGGAGGAAGATCACAGCTTACAGAAGTTATTCTACACAGGTCAGCATCCTAGCTGGCCCACATATTGGGAGTAAATTAGTCTCAGATAAAACAGGGAAGAAATTCTCATACGTTTCAGAGAGAGGCCCAGGACCCCGTGGGTAAGGTTCTTCTCACATAATATACCTGAGGATGGTCTGAGACTTGGAATGTAACCTCCTGCAATCAGTGTAGGTGTTCAACACTAGTGAGTGTGGAGTTAGTGGGTTAGTGTAGAGTGTTAGTTGGTGCACGGCGTGCTGGCAAGTGTCTAGTGCATGATGACTATGAGACCAACCCGAGAGACACTTCGTGGCCCTCCAGTGTATGTGCTTTCAGCGCTTTGAGGTCGAGTGCTAGGGACTCGAGTACCTGGGTGTCGGCCGCATGGGTTTTGAGTGCGCTGGCGTCGAGTGCATGGGGTTTGAATACTTGAGTCTCGAGTGCAGACACAGTGTCTATGAGTGCCGCTCCTCGAGTCTCCCTAAACGAGCGTGTTATCCCGGCAGCTAGAAGTGACGTCACGCCAAACACTGCTGACGGCGCCCATGATGCCAGTTTACCCTGTGAAAGAGATACATACAAGAGTAAATAGAGTGATGGTGAGCACAAATGGGTGCCGGTGGTGAAGTTGACATCTCGGGGATGATGAAGTTTGATGCTTCAAAGACCACGAAGTCATGAATCATGCAAAAAAGGCAGCCAATAATCGCACATCAGCAACGTGTTACGGCATACTCATTAGGTTTTTGTCTAAAACAGTCATTAATAGTCATATAAATATATGATTGTTAAAAGAATTGGATGTCGTAAGACCCTTAACCCACTTCCCAACAACACTCGGTGATCTTTCTGGGCACAGATAAGCTTTAAGCTTCTTCACACAAATGTTACTCACGTCGCCCCCTGCATGTGAGGTGATTTGATGAAGTATCTGTTCCCAAAAAGGTCACCGAGCGCTGTTGGGAATTATCTTACCACTTCAAATTCTTTCAACAGTCATTGTGGCTAAGGTGCATGGAACTCTGGTTGTTTGGGTTCGAATCCTTCAGGCGTGAGGAGTTTTGTTATATATATATATATATATATTGTGACGATAATCTCCTTCAAGAGATTGAGCCTGCTCTTCCCTCCATAATTACGTCTTCACAATTATATAAAAAGACTATGGAAGAAAAGTCCAACAACGACAACAACACCAGCAAGGCTTGCCAGGGTGAGCAGAAACGTATGCAGCCAGCCACCTGTTCGAACTCCAACCACCAAACTACCCGTTGATCGCTACGGCTCCGCTGATTGGTCGCCGGTCTGGCTGCACCTGCCTCGCCCCCCCCAATACTACCTGATGTCTGGGGTCGCCCCAACATCAGTCCTCAGAATGTTCAGTGCTTTCGTAGCCAGCACTCCTCCCAGCTAGACTCTAGAGTGTACTGAGAGAGGTGGTGGCTTTAAGCCAATATTCCAGCACCTCCCACTTACCTTTTGTATTGCACTTCTTGTTATTTTGCCTTAACGTAACTTTTCATTGTGTCATTTAAGTATTCTTATTATTTTGATTCATTGATTTTATTATAAGAATTTGTTTGTGCATTATTTTCATGTTTTGATTTATTTAACGTAATTAAAATTTCATTGTTAAAGTTTTACTTGTGTTTTGTGTGTCTTCTCCTTACCTTACCACAGACGAAGTTCCAGTTTTTCTATTTTTTTTTATAACTATGTGACGAGGCCATACCCCTAGCCTTAAACAGCCGAACACCAACGCGTTACCGTCACAAGTTATATGGGGGCCTGTCCTAGGAGCTTCACTCAGGTACTGGTGCCAAGTGGTAATTTATGGTAAGCGTATTTAACTTTGTTAACGTAGCTTTACTATTTTTCATTCAATTTCATTTTTTATAAGGTGCGGTGTATTGTGCATTACGAGAGTAACATATAGTGAAGGTGAGACAACTTTGGATTACGTGGTGACTGTAGGCCTCAGTCATACTCTTAATTGGTCATCTCTCCCTCCATGTTATTACTCGTATTTACCATCTATGTCCCTTGAATATTTCTCATTCTGACAGATCATCATATTGGTACCCTGGTACTGTGGTCTGCCCCGGGTCAAGAGTACCCAATCTTCTGCAATCTGACTGTAGGAGGACAAAGAGGGCCATAGTTCCTCTAGCTCGAACTTTAGTTGCTGAATTGGGACCTCAGCAGCAGTTCTCGTCACCAGTTGACACCTCGCACCCCTACACGTCAGTCAGAGATGATGATACATACAACGGTAGGGAATTAGCTTATTTTTTCAGAGCACAAAAGTTCGCTAATTCTGTAAGTATCATATTAAATTCAGTAGGAAAAACTTGCTTTATGTCCTATAGAGACTTGGCAAGGTATGCCTACATCCTTGGACTACCAATTTTACTTTTGAAGCATTTAACTGTTTCATTTGTTTTCGAAACTTTGTTTCATTTGTTAGTAGGATTTTCTTGCCCTTATTCTCTTACATGAGTACCGGGTACAAGATTTCCTGCGCCCTTGATTTAATTTAATCATTTAATATCTTTCACTTAACGTTAATTGTTAAAGATCACACAGGATAGGTACCAGTTGCCACGTTGTCCTGTTTCTGACATTTCACTACTGAACATTAGTGTACCTTTATTTGCTAATTTCACCATGTTTCGTCTCCAAACTTTCCGTGCAAATCCAGCAGGTGAAATAGGGACTTTAAGTCGTGCCAAGAGGACTGAACTACAAACTCTTGCACATGAGTATCAACTAGAAGTTCCCTACCAAGCCAACAAAAATGACCTACACAACCTGTTGCTGGATTACTATTTAGAGCAAGGTAAGATAGACTCTGAAACTCATGAAACTTACTATATTGCAGATAAAACTGACTTGGCAACGATGAAACTTAAACTAGAGCTGGCCAAGATTGAACGTGAGCAGCAAAGGGAAGCCCTCGAACAACAAGAACGAGCTGCTGCCATACGAAGAGAAGAACAAGAACGCGAAGCTGCTTTGAGGAGGGAAGAACAAGAACGAGAAATCACCCTCAGAGAACGTGAAGCTGCCTTGAGGAGAGACGAACAAGAACGTGAGGTTGCACTACTCCAGGAGCGGGAACGAGTACAGCTTGAAACCAAACGACGCGAGTTGGAGATGCAACGCGAACATGACAAGCAACAAGCGACTCTGGCTCTAGAGTGTCGTCAACGCGAAATCTCCTTGGAAACTTCACACTTCACCCAACGCCAGCAAGCTACTGCCAATCTTCCCGTCAGTTTTAATATATCACATGCAAGTAAGTTAATGCCATCCTTTGTAGAAGCAGAAGTTGATGTTTTTTTCACCACCTTTGAAACCCTTGCTAATCAACTCAATTGGCCTGTCAACCAATGGGCCACACTTCTCAGAGTCCATCTTACAGGTAGAGCTGCAGTCACACTCAGTACTTTGGCGTCTGAGAATGACTACTACACTCTGAAACAAGCAGTGTTGGACGCCTACCTACTTTCCACCGAAAGTTATAGAAGGAAATTCCGTGACCACCTGAAGGCAAGTACCACTACCTTCCTCGAGTTTGCTAACACGAAACGGAGGTATTTCATGAAATGGCTGGAAGCAGCACATGTCTCTACTTTTACAGAACTCGTCAACCTGATGCTTGTTGAAGAATTCTTGAGACGTGTGCCGCCTCCTGTCCGCCTCTACTTAGCAGATAAAGAAGAAACCGACTACCTGAAGTGTGCTAAGTCGGCTGACACTTACAGCCTCATCCACCGGCTGACACCTGAACCATCCTCCAGTAAGAAGTCGTGGTACAGTTACGAGAAGGTGAGCCCCGATCAAGCTGGTTCACAACTGTACTGCAAGTATTGTAGACTCTATGGACATACCATAGACAAGTGTGGTAAGTCTCAATACAAGGGAACCACTGACCAACAACGACCCAAACCAACTCCTCCTAAGTCCGGTAAGCCTGTGATGAATGTTGGTGTTGATGTTAATGATCTTTCTCTTTTCAGTAACCACCTGTATACTGGAACTGTCTCTGCCAACGGTTCAAATCCGGAGGGACGTTTCAAATTGAAGATCTTGAGGGACACAGCGGCTCTACAATCGATCATCTTGAAGTCGGCTGTGCCCAACATAGTCTACACCGGGGAAACAGTCTTCATCACTGACCTCACTGCTACCACTCCATACCCTCTCGCCAGAGTCCACCTGGATTGTCCCTACGTGAACGGGGAAGTCCAAGTCGCCGTCAGGGAAAAGCCTTTTCCCATGCCTGGAGTGCAACTTCTCCTAGGCAACGACTTGGCAGAAGACCTGCAACCGACCAACCTGATCGTCATGGACAAACCCCAGGTGTGTAACTCTGTGCCAAGTAACCCTATTCTTGAGTATGTTCCAGCAGAGGTTCAAGAGAGTGAAGTTTCTCCTCCGGTTCTCGTGACCACCCGTGCACAAGCCGCACGTCCACAGCCAGCTGACTCTACTGCTACCGCTGTCCCTCAAGACCCTCAGAAACTACCCCCGCATCTGACCAAGTTGGAGTTCCGTAAGTTGCAGAGGGAAGATCTTACTTTAACACCATTGTTTTTCCAGGCTGAGACTCAACCCGACAGTATTCCTGGGTTCTTCCTAGAGAACGACTTGCTCTACCGCAGATATAGACCCAGTAAACTGAAGGAGGAGGACGATTGGGCCAACACCGAACAACTTGTGATTCCCACCAGCCTGCGGCCCACTATTCTACACCTGGCCCACGGAGCATTCTCCCACTACGGCTTCAACAAGACTTACCATGGGATTCGCCAAGACTACTACTGGCCAGGTATGGTAAATAACGTCAAACAGTACGTAAAACAGTGTCATACATGTCAGATGGCAGGCAAACCGAACGTCTCCATTCCCAGAGCACCACTGATTCCCATACAGGTGCCTGCGGAACCTTTCCACAGACTCATAATAGACTGTGTTGGTCCTTTACCTCGGACCAGTTCAGGTAACGCCTACATCCTAACCATCCTGTGTCCTACCACCAGATTTCCCATAGCAGTTCCAGTGAAGAACATCACGGCTGCTACGGTTATCAAACATCTATTGAAGATCTTCACTCAATACGGATTTCCCAGGGAGATTCAAAGTGACTGTGGCACCAACTTCACCAGTGATCTCTTCAAAAGGACACTGGAGGAGTTCAACATCAAACAGGTATTGTCCAGCCCCTATCATCCTGCTTCACAGGGTTCTCTTGAACGTAGTCATCAGACCATCAAAGCACTCTTGAAAAAGTTTTGTAGTGAAACCTCGAAGGATTGGGATAAGCAGATTGACCTAATAATGTGTATTTTCAGAAGTCTCCCCAATGAGTCCCTAGGAGTATCTCCTTATGAGATGCTCTACGGCCGTAAGTGCCGTACTCCCCTTAAGGCTTTCAAAGACTCTCTCAGAGATGCCACCTTCAGTGAGCATCAGAATGTGCCCCAGTTTCTTCAAAACCTTCAACACATTCTAGAGAGAGTCCACCACTTTGCTCATGATAATCTATTGAAAGCCCAGGTGAGAATGAAGACTCATTACGACCAGACCAGCAAAGTAAGAAAATTCAAGCCGGGAGACTTCGTCCTTGCTTATTTCCCTATCCCAGGTTCACCTTTACAAAACAGATTTTCAGGACCCTACTGCGTCAAAGAGTGCAGGAATAATAATAATTATGTGATAGAGACTCCAGATAGGCGGCGGAAGACCCAGCTGTGCCACGTCAACCTCCTGAAGCAATATAATGGTACTCCTCCCACTGTCTTGACTAACTATTCCACATTCACAGAACCCTACATCCACAGTGAGACCTTCCCAGCTTCTCCTCCCGAAAGCACTGACAAGGAGTCAGCGCTTTCTAATTCCGAAATCCTTAATGATCTTCCCAAATACTTTCAGGATAATCATAGTGCACCTCTCGTCAAGATCTTCAGAGAACATCAAGAGTTGTTCAGAGATGATCCCCAAGAGTGTAATGTTACCCAGCACGACATCCAACTGCTCCCCGACACCCGGCCGATTCGTCAACCCTTCTACCGAATCAGCCCAAGCAAGAAGGAAGTCATGCGTGCTGAGGTGCAATACCTCTTGGATCATGGACTGGCTACACCTTGTGAGTCCCCCTGGGCCTCACCCTGTATCTTGGTGCCCAAACCCCAAGGTAAGGTGCGGTTGTGCACTGACTATCGTAAACTGAACTCTGTCACTGTCAAGGATGCTTACCCCTTGCCAAGGATAGATGACATCCTTGATGCCATTGGTAGTGCCCAGTACTTGTCCCAAGTGGACTTGCTTAAGGGGTACTATCAAGTGTGTCTAACGGAGCGCGCTAAAGAGATATCTGCCTTCATCACTCCTTTTGGACTTTTCAGATATGAACGCCTTCCTTTCGGACTATGTAATGCCCCGGCCACCTTTCAAAGAGCTGTCAACCGTGTCATCCAGGGCTTGGATAACACATACGCCTACCTGGACGATATCGTCGTAGCCTCCAACTCCTGGAGTGAACATCTGCTCCAGCTGCGACGTCTGTTCTCAAAGCTCCTGACAGCCGGCCTCACCATCAACCTGGGCAAGTCCACTTTCGCGAAAGGTAAAGTGCGTTATCTGGGTCATGTTATTGGGAGTGGCAGCATAGCTCCGTTAGACTCACACACTCAAGCCATCCTACAGTATCCACAGCCTACCACCAGGAAGCAGCTCCTGCGCTTCCTTGGTCTTGCCTCTTACTACCGTAGGTTTGTGAGGAATTTCAGTACAGTCGCCACACCTCTAATTCTATTAACCAGTCCCAAGCAACGGTATAATTGGACCATGCAGCAAACCGTTGCTTTTGAACAACTCAAATTCCTCCTCTGTTCTAACCCCATTCTCGCCTCTCCAGATATCACCAAGCCTTTCGTCCTTCATGTCGACGCCAGTGGTACCGGCGTTGGTGGTGTCCTGATGCAACAACGAGGCGAGGAAGTTCTACCTGTCAGCTACTACAGCTACAAACTGAAACCACACCAGAGGAACTACAGCACTATTGAAAAGGAGCTACTATCCATCGTCCTGAACCTCCAACACTTCGCTCCGTACCTACAAGGCGCCAGGTCTACCACCATCTTCTCAGACCACAACCCTCTCCGCTTCCTACATCAAGCCCAATTCACCAACCAGCGTCTTCTACGATGGGCTCTGTATTTACAAGACTTCAACCTGGAGATCCGCTATATCAAGGGTTCTGACAACACCATAGCCGATGCCCTCTCCAGAGTTTATGAAGTAGAAGCAACTCCATCCATTACTCCACCACATAACGACGTACTTCTTCCAGAACCGCAGGCTTCGGGGGAGAGTTGTGACGATAATCTCCTTCAAGAGATTGAGCCTGCTCTTCCCTCCATAATTACGTCTTCACAATTATATAAAAAGACTATGGAAGAAAAGTCCAACAACGACAACAACACCAGCAAGGCTTGCCAGGGTGAGCAGAAACGTATGCAGCCAGCCACCTGTTCGAACTCCAACCACCAAACTACCCGTTGATCGCTACGGCTCCGCTGATTGGTCGCCGGTCTGGCTGCACCTGCCTCGCCCCCCCCAATACTACCTGATGTCTGGGGTCGCCCCAACATCAGTCCTCAGAATGTTCAGTGCTTTCGTAGCCAGCACTCCTCCCAGCTAGACTCTAGAGTGTACTGAGAGAGGTGGTGGCTTTAAGCCAATATTCCAGCACCTCCCACTTACCTTTTGTATTGCACTTCTTGTTATTTTGCCTTAACGTAACTTTTCATTGTGTCATTTAAGTATTCTTATTATTTTGATTCATTGATTTTATTATAAGAATTTGTTTGTGCATTATTTTCATGTTTTGATTTATTTAACGTAATTAAAATTTCATTGTTAAAGTTTTACTTGTGTTTTGTGTGTCTTCTCCTTACCTTACCACAGACGAAGTTCCAGTTTTTCTATTTTTTTTATAACTATGTGACGAGGCCATACCCCTAGCCTTAAACAGCCGAACACCAACGCGTTACCGTCACAATATATATATATATATATATATATATATACATATATATATATATATATATATATATATATATATATATATATCACTAAGAACTATAATTGACCCTTACGGGCTTCTTATCTTGAGATGATTTCGGGGCTTAGTGTAGCGAGTAGATTATCCCAATAATATACTCGCTCCAAATGCATTGTTAATATTCCTGTCAACCTTTGGAGATGAATGAGGTGAGGCGTTGCCCGGGCAACACGGTGAGGTGTTGCCCGGGCAAGATAACCCTTAGATAACCCTTAAAACCTTTCGGTTTTAGGTTTTGTGAGAGGGTCCACAACAGCCTCGGTCTCCTGTCTATGATCAGCTGATCACTTTTTTGTGTTAGATCCGTTTTCTCTCATTAAATTGAGTATAACCTTGGTTGTCAATAAGCAGTCCGAGAACAATAGTACACCGAGAACTTCAACAAAATCTTGTAGATCTTCGGCAAAGTGAAATCGACACCAGTAACACCATCTATCATCATACTATCATGCAAGAGGAGTCACAAATCTATGGTTCATCCAGTAAAATCAGCAGACTTCTAGATGTTACTACTGCTCGGCTTAGACTCGGTTACAAGTATCTCTGGGAATTTTTATTATCCGCTGATGTAGATCTGACCAACTGTAAACTGTGTCCACAAAATTATTCGCACACCCTCCGTCACTATGTGATGGAGTGCGAAAAGATACGTGAATTCAGAGACAAATATAGAGACAAACTATAACAAATGTTCCAGAGATGTGTAAATACTTCACTCAAAATTATCTGCTGCCAGAAGTCCTGGCCAAGTATCCCAAGTTTGCTAACTGTAGGTAGTAACTAAGTGATTGTAACCTATCCACGGCTGCTACTGGATGGGGGAGGGGCGGTGTTCAGGATAAACATATCAATTGTGACACTAGCTCTCCACATATGTCAGTTGCTTAATTTAGAAACTGCATTTGTGGCCGGTCTCGAGCCCATTATTGATTTGACGATGTGCAATGAATTTTGTAACTAGCTCATCAAGATTATAACTTGTTTAGCTACATGAATTGTGGGGTTCAGTCCCTGAGTCCATTATGTGCCTCTATAACCCTTTCCACTACCGCCCACAGGATGGGTATGGGGTGCATAATAAATGAACTAAACTAACTCTGGAGAACAGCGTGACTCACGAGGTAGTCGACCAAGTAGGCGGCGCTGATGGAGCCAATCTGAGCCATGACTGTAGAGGTGCCGAGGCCCCGGGTTCGGACCTCGGTGGGGAAGAGCTCGGAGGTCATAAGGAAGACGGTAGTGTAACACATGCTGATGGTCAACTTGCCCGCCAGTGACAAGGTAGTCACCAACCAAACCAAATCTGAACAGAAATCAAGTATTAAACACTATATAAACATATTTAAGAACACAGAAACTGTATTGGAGGGGACCTAAGCATTCAGTCTAATGTGTTATGTGTGTTTTTCTCCGCGGCTTAGGGTCCCCTTCCTCCAGCCAGAGCTGGTACTCCCTTCTATATTTTATAAATATATAAACAATATATAATTAAAAATAAATAGTATAGTATTTGGATATTTCATCTCCATAGTGAGATCATCACAACCCAGCTCACATAACTTATGGTACCTGTAGCAACTATACATGGAGTGTTATACATGGAGTGTTATACATGGAGTGTTATACATGGAGTGTTATGCATGGAGTGTTATGCATGGAGTATTATACATGGAGTGTTATACATGGAGTATTATACACGGAGTGTTATACATGGAGTGTTATGCATGGAGTATTATACATGGAGTGTTATACCTGGAGTGTTATACATGGAGTGTTATACATGGAGTGTTATACATGGAGTGTTATACTGTACATGGAGTGTTATACATGGAGTGTTATACTGTACATGGAGTGTTATACATGGAGTGTTATACATGGAGTGTTATACACGGAGTGTTATACATGGAGTGTTATACATGGAGTATTATACATGGAGTGTTATACATGGAGTGTTATACATGGAGTGTTATACATGGAGTGTTATACATGGAGTGTTATACATGGAGTATTATACATGGAGTGTTATACATGGAGTGTTATGCATGGAGTGTTATGCATGGAGTGTTATACATGGAGTGTTATGCATGGAGTGTTATACATGGAGTGTTATACATGGAGTGTTATACATGGAGTATTATACATGGAGTGTTATACATGGAGTATTATACATGGAGTGTTATACATGGAGTGTTATACATGGAGTGTTATACATGGAGTGTTATACATGGAGTGTTATGCATGGAGTGTTATACATGGAGTGTTATACATGGAGTGTTATACATGGAGTGTTATACATGGAGTATTATACATGGAGTGTTATACATGGAGTATTATACATGGAGTGTTATACATGGAGTATTATACATGAAGTGTTATACATGGAGTGTTATACATGGAGCCAAGCCATTTGTTGTTATAGATTCAGCTACTCAGAACAAGTTCCAAGTAGCACGGGCTATGGTGAGCCCGTAGTGGACTCACCTGGCACAGGAGCGGTGCGTGATGTCAGAGGAAAGCGCAAAGCCATCACGACTATATAGCACTTGGAAAGGATCGGGATAAGGATTTGGGGATGGGACGGGGGGAAGAAATAGTGAACAACCATTTGGACAGTCGGGGATTGAACGCCGACCTGCATGAAGCAGGACCGTCGCTCTATCAGCAATCGTATGATATATCCATGATGTTCATGGATATATCATATATATAGTCTAGTCCAAGTGTCTGGAATATATACATGGAGTGTCATATACATGGAGTGCCATATACATGGAGTACCATATACATGGTGTATCATATACATGGCACTCACCCAGAGTATTGGCTTGCCTATATAATGAGATCTTTGGGGCTGACAGTCCCCAGGTGGGCATGTGAAGGCACAGACGACGTTGGTCTCTCTTAAGGCGTTCTGTTTGGTGTCTGGAGAGTTCTTCATAAGTAGGTTTGCCCTCTTCTTTTTTGTAGTAAGTTCTTAATTGTATCTTCTGATTTGTGTCTGTAAAGATAACATTCCTATCAATAATATCTTTCAGTACACATCCTTCCGTTTTATGAGCCGTCGAAAAGAATTTCCTGTAAAACAATTTGATAGGAGGTACAGGTGCTGTGTTAGTTGATACTTGAGAGGTTGCATGGCGTGTCCCCCATCTTTTAATGACGTCTTCAACATAGCCGTTAGAGAAGCCACACTGCTACAACCACCGTCGGGTGTAGCAATGTGTTAACTGCTGGATTTATGCAGTGTTGTATGGACCGACGTACCCCGGGATTTGGCTAAGAAGAGTTACGAGACGACAGTAGTGCGTCTGTTGAGAAGTGCTGCTGGTGAGTTGCTAGAGACTTCTGCCAGGGTGTTAGCTACCCCCTGTACGTGATTATTTGAGACCCTGTCAGCGTGTTGCTGAAACCCTCCGCCAGCGTGTTTCTGGAGAGTGGAGGCGGGGTACTGGAACACCGTGAAGATGCGTGTTTGGGCTGGCCCATGTTGAGGAAGGTGAACTCGCCGACGATTATTATTGTGTGGACGACGTGTACCTGGACGTTGTGGATTTGTCAGGATTTGATGAACACTGCCGATCTATGGAGTGTCCTGAGTGAAAGCGACACTGTGTAAATATGTATAATATATATATATATATATATATATATATATATATATATATATATATATATATATATATATATATATGCAGAATAACCACATATGAAAAATAGAAAATAGCATTTTCTATTTTTCATATGTGGTTATTCTGCATACTTGGATCAGTGTTTTTGTGATCATTGTTGCATATATATATATATATATATATATATATATATATATATATATATATATATATATATATATATATATATATATATATATATATATATATATATATATATATATATACATATATATATATATATATATATATATATATATATATATATATATATATATATATATATATATATATATATATATATATATTTTTTTTTTTTGTCCGGTCGTGTTGGTCGAGTGGTTAAGGGATCCTGTACATCAGATGCATTGCTTCTGGCAGTATGGGTTCGAGTCACTTCTGGGGTGTGAGTTTTTAGTTGCATATATGCTAGTGGTGAAGGTGTAGTTGTGTATTGTTTATCCCCCTTTATTCTTTGCATTACTACTTACCACCTTACCTTTAAGCTTACCACAGCCAGCATGAAAGCTTACCACCGACATGGGTTAGGATACAGAAGAAGAGGTTATAAGTCACATTAACAGCAAGAACCCGGTTACTGGCCCAAGTGGCCGTAACATTGAGTGACTTGAACTCGCGATCTGGTGATTCCCAGACGTCTCTGTCGTTAAGGCAGACGCGGCCACGATGGTACAAAAGCTGAGCAACTGAGAACTCCACCGAGCTCTCTGGGAGGTTCTGGAGGCCTCAAACTCGGGCCCAACCAGGATTTTACAGCCAACCCGACCATAATCGGACTGGGAATCACCAGATCGCGAGTTAAAGTCACTCCATTACCTCAAACAGATTTTAATTGATATGCCATTCCATTGTGATAAAGCTTGAATGGTCCCAAGCTATACATTCATATAAACTCTATGACCCTTCGAGGATTCAAACCTGGGCGGCTACGGGTCACCTCACTGACTATCCAGTAATAATACCACTCCAACATCGATGTTGTTGTTGTTGTTTTAGATTCAGCTACTCAGAGCAAAAGTTCCAAGTAGCACGGGCTATGGTGAACTCGTAAGTGGAGGCTCTTTGGAGCCATTATCTGTATTAATAGCCGATACTGGACATCTGGGAATGGGTGGGGGGGGGGTCTCATGGTGGATTTCAGCCTCGGAGGGCTGGATGTAACAGTTATGGAGCTGGTGGTGGGTTAGCGATAACCTCTTGATCTTCCGTTTTTTCTTTGGCTAAGCCGTGCTGTCGTTGGAGTTTGATGAGGTGGCCTCCATGAGGAAGTCTTACACCGAGTAGAGTCGTGTTTATGCTGCGGCAGTGGAGCTCCTACTATGATTTCCTCGTCTGAGGAGTCTGTAACAACCGTAGTTGGTGATTTCTTATTTTGTCTCGCAGCCTTTTGTAGGTTCAAGTGTCGTGGATTGGTGGTAGAAGCTATTTCAAGAGCGTTGGTGGTGCTGTTAGTATTTGTAGACAGCCCGTCTGCTACCACGTCTGCTGAGATGGTGATGGTAGGAGTGTTGGGACTGCAGAGGGAAATACCTCTGTTTGAGCCACCCGGGTCTTGGGTGGTTCTGGAGTCTGTGTTGAGATCGACCTCGTGGTCGTCCTGGTGGTAGTCTCCGGAGTGGTAGTGGAGGCAGTGAGACTTGCATCCGGGGTGATGATGGGGTCCAGGTCGTTGGCTAGGTACAGCGTGTTGAGTTCCTTGACGAATCGTTGATTGTCTGGTCCAGCAAGCCTCTCCGCTAGTCGAATAAGACCAGAGATAATGCATGCACGTGATGCATGGGACTGTGAGGGTGTTGGTTGGTCCTTAGGTCCCAAGTGTGGAGGCTGGGTGATGTGTTGGGAGGAGCCACTGTTTGGTAAGGCTGGTACGGTCGTAGTCAGCATCTGGCTTATAGAAGGGAGCTCAGGAATTGGTCAGGTCCATGGTCTATGGTCGCGGCGACTTGTCTCTGGGTGGTCGATGGCATGGTGGTCTTCTCTTTAATTTTCTTCAATTCCTCCTTCCTTTTTGTGCAGAGGTAGGAGGTGGCGGCGTGCTGTTCTCTACAGTTGGCGCCTTTCATGGTGGTGGCTGAACAGTCCTTGTAGTTGTGAGTGCCGGAGCATGAGCTGCACTTAGCCGTTTGTTCTGTTGAAGTGTTCATAGCTGAAGCACTTGTAGCACTGTCTCACGTTGTAGACCTTATCCATGGCGATCTGGTTTGGGGAGGAGGTGATTCCAAAGCACTTGAACCCGTTCTTCAGTGCTTCCAGGGCCTGTTCTGCTGTTTCGAAGGTAATCTTCATCATGGGGTCGAGTAGCGTCGTTAGTTTTGATGAGTAGAGCTGTCATCGCTTTCAGAGTAGGGTTTTCCTCGTTCACTTGCCGCACCATGGTCTCGGGTACCTCACCCACTAACCAGCGGTTCAGACTGTTCACAAATATCGTTTTCCTGGCAGTGATTTGACTGAGAGGAATCGGTGAGAGGTTCGCCTCCAATAGTGGGACCCGGAGATCCGGATCAAGGATCTTATGTAGGTCCGCTTTTGTTGCCAAGATTACCGTGGCCTCGTTACCATGCATATGGACGTCAACTGGTCCCACTAATATTGCCTTGTCAATGGCTGCTGCAATTTTGCGCTCAGAGCGCTTGTAGTCGCACTTTCACTTTGTACGTCAGGTTCTCTGACAATGGCTCGGATTGTCAGGAGAACCTGGAGTGTAGAGTGGTTTGCCGGCAGCTGTGTGGGAACACAGCTTGCCAGCAAGAGAGGTGGAATCTAACATCGTTGTTGTTGTTGCTTCAGATTCAGCTACTCAGAACAAAAAGTTTAAAGTAGTACGGGCTATGGTGAGCCAGTAAGTGGAGGCTCTTTGGATCCATTATCTGTATCAATAGCTGATACTAGTGATCTGGGGGATGGATGGGGGTCTTCATGGTGGATTTCAGCCTCGGAGAGCTGGCTGTATCAGTTATGGAGCTGGTGGGGTTAGTGTAGACCTTTAGGTCTTCCACTTTTTCTTTGGCTAAGCCGTACTGTCGTTGGAGTTTGGTGAGGTGGCCTCCATGAGGAGGTCTTGTACTGAGTAGGTGTCGTATTTGTGTTGTGGCGGTGGAGCTCCTACTAAGATTACCTCGTCTGAGGAGTCCGTAGCATCTGTAGTTGGTGTTTTCGTCTTTCATCTTGCAACCTGAGGTAGGCTCAGGTGTCGTGGATTGGTGGAATAATGTATTTCAGGAGCGATGGTGGTGCTGTTAGTATTTGTAGAGAGATAGTGATGGTAGAAGTGTTGAGAGCTGGAGAGGAAAATACCTCTGTTTGTGCCGTCCGGGTCTTGGGTGGTTTTGGAGTCTGTTGAAGTCAACTTCGTGGTCGTCCTGGTGGTAGTTTCCGGAGTGGTAGTAGAGGCAGTGAGACTTGCGCAAGGGGCTATGATGGGGTCCAGGCCATTGGCTAGGTATAATGCGTTCAGTTCATTGACAAAACGGTTGTTGTCTGGCTCGGCAAGCCTCTCTGCTAGTCTAATAAGACCAGGGATAATGCCTGCACGTGATGCAGGGGGCTGCGAAGGATTCTGTGGGGCCTTGGGTCCCCCACTGTGAAGGCTGGGTCGCCTGGTAGGAGGAGCCACTATTTCCAACATCGATATTGGAGTGGTATTAGTACCGGATAGCCAGTGGCCTCTGGCCTCCCAGGTTCGAATCCTCGAGGGGTTATAGAGTTTATAATGATGTACATATACTATATATGTATCCAGTATGTGCATTAGTTCCCTTGTGATGTTCTTGCTAATATATGTAGAAGTATACCTGCCGGAACAAAAGCGGCGGCCAGCATAGCAACTCCTGTTGTGGAGAAACTAACGGTGCTGATGATCTTGCGTCCGAAGCGTTCGATAGAGACAGCAGCGAGAAACTTTGCGAGCACCTCAGCGGCCCCAGCCAGCGCCATGAATGAGAAGAGGTCTGCACCCAGAGTCTGGCCGCTGAGGGAGATGCCGTAAAAGGCCAGTCCCAGCACCAGGTGACACCCGTACATCCCCAACGTTGTCCGCCGCATTCTCCTGGTCCTGCCGAACATTATCAAGAATGACTATATATTAGATTTATATATAAATGTATAATAATATAGATCTGATTGGTTACAAAAAGTGAACATTAAGAGGAAATAAGAGGAAGTTTGTTTCTTAGAGGCTGTAGATTTCCTCGAACTCCTCCGACGCCGGAGGAGTTCGGCGTGTGTATATATATATATATATATATATATATATATATATATATATATATATATATATATATATATATATATATATATATATATATATATATATATACATATATATATATATATATATATATATATATATATATATATATATATATATATATATATATATATATATTATATATATGAGGGCATAAATATGATCAGAACTGCAACAACAACATTTAGTACACCTGAGACAAGAGAGAAATTCACACTAGTTATTCCATCGTGACACTATTATGCAGGAAGAGCCACAGATCAATCGATCAACCAGTAAGGTCAGCAGGCTTCCTGACGTGTCATCTACTCGGCTTAGACAGGTTTAGTACCTCTGGTAGTTATTACTTCCTACTGAAGTACATCTCACCAAAAGTTAATTGTCAGCAGAACCATTCACAGATCCTCCGCCAATATGCAGTTCAATGTTAAAAAAAACTGAGATAAGTTATTGCAAATGTTCAATAAATGTGTTTCATTCACAGCAATGTACTATTAGACATCTTGACTAAATATCCAAAGTTTGCTTACTGTAGGAAGCGGATGCACCTGACTGTAAAGCTGCCACGGTCGTCCATGGGATGGGTGCGGTCGTGGGGGACAGGATAGGTAAATATGTAGCTGGTCCACCACATATGTAAATTGCTCGATTCGGGGATTGTTGAGTGCCAGTTCTCGAACCAATCGTGCTATTAAAGTCTATTAAAATATACACTAGACTGTGTAATTAGTTTATCAAGATTCTTACTTACTCAGCTAAATGACTTTTGGGGCTTCAGTTCCTGAGCCCACTGTGTGCCTCAGTAACCTTGACCACTACGCCCACAAGATGGGGATTGGGTGTAAAATAAATGAATAAAATCAATCACCTCTCGATATGTACATGCACAGTATATCTATATCTATAAAAGTGAATATTTGTCTCTCAGATATCGGAAGGCAGATGTTTGCAGTTAACCTCAGACGACTATCCATGGATCTCAGGTGGGTCGGGGCGGTCTCCTTCTGCCCTTCCTTAAATAGGATCGTCTCCTATTGCGACAACCAATAACTCCTATAAAGTTTAAAGCGGGGTTGTTTTTCCATAGAGTTTTCCCACTAAAAAAAAAAAAAGTTCATCAAACACACAAACAAATACCAACATCGTTGTGGCAACGTTGCATCAAAGTAACAACAGTAAAACAAATAATATTGTGGTTACATTGTGTGTTAACGGGAGGGAGGGAGGGAGGGAGGAAGAGGGAGGGAGGGAGAGGGAAAGGGAGGGAGAGGGAGAGAGAGAATGGGGAGGAAGAGAGAAAGAAAGAGTTTCTCAATTCTCTCTTTCTTGAAAGACGTTTTTCAACTTCCTTCTTAACAGAGACTTAAGATAGATGTTGAAAACTTAAATCTCCAAAAGTCATTTTACAGTTGTATTGGTCGTGATGGTAAGAGATGGATCAGTGTGAGGAGCGTGCAGCCTCCCTCCCTCCTGTGTTGTTATGGTGGCTGGGGCAGTGTGCTGGAGGTCCAGTCTTGGTCATGAAGATGGTCAAATGTCACTGAGTGTTACCAGGCTCTTGAGAATTAGTTGAGTGTGTTTGATATGTAGTGCTTCGCCGATATCTAATCTTTAGAGAGTTGAAGGGGCAAAACAAGATTTAGACAAGATTAGACATCACTGAAGCCTTACGTATCAATCACACGCAACTACCTATCAGTCACACGCAACTACCTATCAATCACACCCAACTACCTATCAATCACACGCAACTACCTACCAATCACACGCAACTACAAATCAACAGCAGCCGACACTCACTCACATTCTACCATCTTCAAGATCAAGACAGAATATCTCCCTCCCTCCCTCCCTCCCAATTGTCACTCTCCATCTTCACTTATACTCACCCTCCCTCCCTCACCTTCACACACACTCTCCCTCACGCTCTCTCTCTCACCTGAAGAGGATAGTGAAAGAGGTTGTGACGCCAGAGAGCTTGGTAAGCCAGGTCTGGCGCCCCGGGGTCCGCCGCTTCGCCGTAGCCTCGCCAGACACCCTCGTAGTAGCCTCGCCAGACACCCTCGCCGTAGCCTCGCCAGACACCCTCGCAGCCTGAGGGTCATCGAATGTGTGTGTGTGTGAATATTTTACATTTTATTTAGATCGTTAGATGAAGTTTGAACTAACTATGGTTCCCTAGTAGAGGCAACTGAGTTGATGATGTATGTGCCAAGGATAACGGGCTCGGTACTTAAATTCGCCGCCCATTTCACTCTATCTAGGGTATGTGAGGTATGCTGTGCAATTCCTGAAATCAGCCAACGTTCAGTGGTATTCTAAAGCTATCGTTCAGAGGTATAGTAAAGTTATCGTTCAGTGGTATGCTAAAGTTATTGTTCAGTGGTATACTAAAGCTATCGTTTAGTGGTATACTAAAGCTATCGTTCAGTGGTATACTAAAACTATCGTTCAGTGGTATATTAAAGTTATCGTTCAGTGGTATACTAAAGCTATCTTTCAGTGGTATACTAAAGCTATCGTTCCATGGTATATTAAAGCTATCGTTCAGTGGTATACTAAAGCTATCGTTCAGTGGTATACTAAAGCTATCATTCAGTGGTATACTAAAGCTATCGTTCAGTGGTATACTAAAGCTATCATTCAGTGGTATACTAAAGCTATATTTCAGTAGCATACTAAAGCTATCGTTCAGTGGTATACTAAAGCTATCGTTAAGTGGTATACTAAAGCTATCGTTCAGTGATATACTAAAGCTATCGTTCAGTGGTATACTAAAGCTATCGTTCAGTGGTATACTTTAGCTATCGTTCAGTGGTATACTAAAGCTATCATTCAGTGGTATAATAAAGCTATCGTTCAATGGTATACTAAAGCTATCGTTCAGTGGTATACTAAAGCTATCGTTCAATGGTATACTAAAGCTATCGTTCAATGGTATACTAAAGCTATCGTTCAATGGTATACTAAAATTATAGTTCAGTGGTATACTAAAGCTATCATTCAGTGGTATACTAAAGCTATCGTTCAATGGTATACTAAAGCTATCGTTCAATGGTATACTAAAACTATCGTTCAATGGTGTACTAAAGCTATCGTTCAATGGTATACTAAAGCTATCGTTCAATGGTATACTAAAGCTATCGTTCAATGGGATACTAAAATTATAGTTCAGTGGTATACTAAAGCTATCGTTCAATGGTATACTAAAGCTATCGTTCAATGGTATGCTAAAATTATAGTTCAGTGGTATACTAAAGCTATCGTTCAATGGTATACTAAAGCTATCGTTCAATGGTATACTAAAATTATAGTTCAATGGTATACTAAAGCTATCGTTCAATGGTATACTAAAGCTATCGTTCAATGGTATACTAAAGCTATCGTTCAATGGTATACTAAAGCTATCGTTCAATGGTATACTAAAGCTATCGTTCAATGGTATACTAAAGCTATCGTTCAATGGTATACTAAAATTATAGTTCAATGGTATACTAAAGCTATCGTTCAATGGTATACTAAAATTATAGTTCAATGGTATACTAAAGCTATTATTCAGTGGTACACTAAAACTATCGTTCAGTGGTATACTAAAGCTATCGTTAAGTGGTATACTAAAGCTATCGTTCAGTGGTATACTAAAGCTATCGTTAAGTGGTATACTAAAGCTATCGTTCAGTGGTATACTAAAGCTATCGTTAAGTGGTATACTAAAGCTATCGTTCAGTGATATACTAAAGCTATCGTTCAGTGGTATACTAAAGCTATCGTTCAGTGGTATACTTTAGCTATCGTTCAGTGGTATACTAAAGCTATCATTCAGTGGTATACTAAAGCTATCGTTCAATGGTATACTAAAGGTATCGTTCAATGGTATACTAAAGCTATCGTTCAGTGGTATACTAAAACTATCGTTCAATGGTGTACTAAAGCTATCGTTCAATGGTATACTAAAGCTATCGTTCAATGGTATACTAAAGCTATCGTTCAGAGGTATAC